GTTAAAAAATCGTCCGTTCTTTTATAATAATGCTGATAATTTGCTTTTGAAGCCGTCAGTGGAGGTTTTAAAGTCTGTTCTCGTGAGCACTGTTCAGATAATGAGCACAAGACGACGCCTTTTGGCAGAAAACGAAGCAGAAGAATGAGAATAAACTTAATGTTGGCATGACTTGGATCCAATTAAATGGAAAAGAAAGCTTTAAAAATGTTGTGATAAATGCAAAAATATAAATATGTGGCGGATACGATCTGTACAAGACGTTTATGAGAGCAGATGATGTTCACCTTATAGCTCCTGATCATGTCATGTGTTATAAACTGCACTATACAAATAAAACTGAACTTAATTGAATTGAATGTCTGTTTTTACAGAATAGTTCTCTTGTCTCCTGTCAGCTTGTCTCTGGATCACAGCTTTGATTCAGCCTTCATGTGTCTCTGAAATGTTCCCTAAATGAATAAATGATTAAAATCCTGAGTCAGGAGTTGTCTTTTCTGTTATAATAATGTTGAAAATGTAGGTTTTGAAGCTCCATGTGGACGTTTTACAGTCTGTTCTCATGAGTATTGTTCAGATAACGAACACAAGATGAAGCTTTTCTGCAGAAAGCGAAGCTGACAGACGTGGAACAAAAAGAACTGAAGAGGAATAAACTAGATGTTTGTGTGACTGGGATCAAGTTAGACGGAAAAAAACATGAAAAAGTTTTAGATAAATGCAAAAAACATTAATATGGACCAGAGAAAGTCTTGCAAAAGCAGATAATTATCATCTTATGCTTCTCAAGCACATCCGCCCTGTGCTTTTAAAATATAATTATGGCATAAAACGGTAATTTCATTTCAAATCCTCATATTTAACAATAACCTGATGTACCTGAGGAAGACTTTAGTTATAAATGTGTTGTCAGGATCATTGTAGGAACTGTTTAAATGTTTATGGAATAAACTTGACCTTCAAGATCCTAAATCTGACAGAAAGTTCATTGTGTTTATTATTATTAAATAGTAAAACCTTCAAGCGTCTCTTCCAGTACGTTTATGAATTCAGACAGTATATTATTATATTATATATGTAGAATAGGTCACAGCTCCTCTCTGTTCTTTTTAAACTAGATTTTTTTTAAATTTATTTTTCTAACTTGTCCTACCTGCTGAATCAGTTGTGAAAGTTCTGTGAAAATAACTATGAGAATAAGAATAAGAATAAGAACTATTTTTTGTGACCAAGTATTTCTTGTTTTCTGTATATTTTTGTATTACTGTGACCTGCAGCTGCATGTAGTTCAGGAAATACCGCTCGCTGACCTCTGCTTCATTAACGTTATTAATAACTTGAGCTCAAAGACGGGACTTTTTCTGACAGTTTCAGTTTCATACGTCAGTTCAAACATAATCAGAGACTAATTGATCCACTTCGTCTAATACGGTAGATTCTGAATCACTGATATGATGCGAAATAAACATTTCAGGGTTTTATCTTTATAAATATATAAAGCGTTAAAGGAAGAACCTCCAGACTGATCAACAAGCTGTCAGAATGCTGAACTGCTGATCAAGATGTGCAAACACACGTTTATTTAAATTACTATTGGATCCTGAGGAAACACTCTCTCATCCTGCCTGTACTGCTGGATATGTACAGCAACATGACAATAAACCTGATATGATTTAAAAAATTTAAAAATAAAAATACTGTCCTTTCTAAGCATTTGATATATTGAGCTAAATTTTCACAAATGTCACTTTAAATATTCATAGTTTATGTTAAAAAAAAAAGAAAAAAGTTTGAAGCAAATCAGAGACTTGAGATGGAAAAAAACGAAAAACTGTTAATGTTGAAGATCCCAGTTTCTGCAGCCTTGTGTGTTATTTTTAAAGCCGGTTCTACTTTTGGTGACTTTGCAGTTCGGTGTGGACGGTGTTGTTTTGTCCACTTTGTCCCAGCAGCTGCTCTTTACGTCACAGATAACAGAACACGAGTGTGACGGGCCTCATGTGAAGCCCAATCCTTCATCACGTCCTGCAGCAGTTTGTTGCTCAGGGTGACTATCAGAGTCTGACTCAGCCCGGCCTCCTCCATTAGTATATTTACACAGTGGTTCTGTGACTTTATGGGCTGAACCAAAGCAGCTCGCGTCAGCTGCAAGTGACAATAAAACAGTGACTCTTTATTCTGCTGTTTGTCTCCTCGGTGGAGAACAAACTCTCCGTCCTGCAGCTCGGTGTCCTCAGACCACCTTTCTGTGTTTGTGTTCAGCAGCGCAGCAGGACGTCAAGTGTTTCCACGTCTGCTCAGAGTCGTGCTGAAATAATGTGAGTTCACCAAACAGGTGCAGGAGAGCGACGAGACGCTCAGAAACATGTGGTCCAGTCAGAGAGTCGGGCTTTTTAAAAATACACTGCATTATATACAGACAGGCATTCATCAGTTAATTATATTATTAGTTTTACAGCACTTTGGTTTTTTGACATTTGAAGAGAAAAACATGCAAAACAAGCAAAAAGTTGAACCAAGGGTGCATTCAGCTTTGGGATTCATCATGAGAACACTGTTTCTACTGTCTTCTGCCCGTTTCTTGGTGGTTTTTGGTTCATTTTTTCTTGTTTTCTTCATAATAAACAGCAGTTTTACTGATTTCTAGCTGGTTAACGACGACTCTCTCGCTATTACTCTCCTCATTAAAGATGTCTGTCCTCTCGTCATCTCGTACTTTTCCTCTTTCAGACTTTTAGTTTGGATTATCTCCTGACTTTACACACAGTTTACCCACAAATTCATTGTGGTTAAAGAAAGTTTTTGGACTTCTAGTGTGAACTCATGACATTAAAAAAAAGCATTTATAAAAGATGATGATGATGGAATTATTTAACCACCATGATAACCAACTGATCAGTGTTAAAACCCTGTTGTGTAGATTTTGTAAAGACAACAAGTGGATTAATAATTATTTCCAAAGCTCAAGAGTATTGATCAGTTTAAAAACAACTTTCATTCAAACTAATTCTTGTATTTGGTGCAAATAAACAACAGTGACTTGTATGAAACTGATTTATGTCGCTGTTAGGGACACACACGTCGTGAAAATGTAGAAAATGATACGACACCGTTATCATCACGAGTCCTTGTGCTAGAAAATGAATTCTATGTAACTGAAAATAATGAAAAATAAATGGAGTTTACCTACTGGATGTAAAAGCTGAGCAACCAGCAGGATGATGATGAGTGAAGTAGAAGTTAAAGCACTCACACTGAGAGTCTGCTGAAGTTTCCTCCCGGGTAATAAAGATAACACGACGGGAACTCCGTCACTCCCAGTTTGGACACCAGACCGGCCTCAGTGTTCAGAACCCGTCGCACCGCGATGTTCTCGAACTGCAGCAGGTCCAGAGTCACCTGAAGAACAGAAGAAAGTTCACAAGATCAGTCGTTTTTATTGTATTTCAACACGCTGATGCTTTAATAAGGTGATGTGTGTTAATAATATCCAGTTATCTGCCATCAGACGACCCAAAATATGAAGGAACAGAACAGAACAGAACTTTATCGTCATTATTAACGAGAATAAAAGAGAGTTCAGCAGCTCTTTGGATTAGCAGCAGAATAAACAAAGAGCACAGAGATCAAATGCAATAAAAAAAAGAATTAAGAACGCACTGTGATGAGGTAGAAAGGTTTCGTTTTTAGCCAAACAGCAGACTTTTAGTAGCTATATGAGGTTTTATAATCGATAAGTGACTTTGTTTTTGTTTTTAAAGCTCATTTCTTCTGTGGTCCAGACATAAATAACACATAGACAGAAACAAAGCTCTGAGTTTTGAAGGTAACTTTTAGGTTGTGTTTCAGATGAACAGGTAATGAGAACACGTCTACTGATCAGTTCTCTGGGAAAATATCATCCCTTCACCTGAAACATCCTGCAGAGGGTCAGATGGTTAGAAATACAGACGAGAGTTGTTCGAGTTGGCGGCAGTTTCTTTGCTCTGCATCCTTCTTATAGAGTGATAAATCCAAAAACAGAAGCTGACTAAAACACTAAAACCTAACGGCCTGATTGTACGCCTCCTAAGAGTTGCTCCCAGTCGACATATATGATTTAATTTTGTTTTATTATTTGTTCTTTACTTGCTCCCAAAACTGTTGAACTCTGCCGAGAAAAGGACTAAAACTAGACTGAAGGTGAGATGAAGGAATTCATCCTCCACACCAGCATGAAAACAGCTTCATTTTTTATTATTTTTATGATTTATTCTTGACATAATTTGTCTTTTTTTGACCTGCACAATCCGTCATGTTGTTGTACAATCTCACGATGCATGACGACGATGATTAAACTGAATCTTAAGATAAGAAACTCACGTCCAAGACAACTTCTACACCTGCTGTTTCTGCAGCAGCTGTGTTCATATGTTAAAACTCTTCATCCTAATTTAAGATCATAGTTTGTCCTTCTTGTGAGAAATAAGCAGCTTTTGTTGGTTATTTGAAATTAGCCTCAGGATTGACTGACAGCCAGCTGCAGCAGTTGGGTTTAGTGAAGCCAGATAATGCAAAGATATCCCTGATATGCTGAATTTACTTCATAATTCAGACCCCTGGTGGATGGAAATGTGAGTTTTTACCTCTCGGCCGATGTAGGATTTAGCGTCTTCAAAGATCAGAGCCAGATGTTGAACGTTGTTGTTCTCAAAGAAGATGTCGATCTCTGCTTGGCTGCAGAGAAACGAGCAGAAAAAACAGGTGAGATCCAACATCTGACGTTCAATAAACTCCAAACATCACCAATAAATAACAGGACGGGCTGCTGATCGAGTCGAGATGGAAACAAAGCATTAAAAGGGGGATAAATATGTACGTATATACTTGAGTTTTAAAAAAAATGTTAAATTAAATGAACAAAGCTTCACTGAATTTGGTTTTTCTACTGTTTTTGGAGTTTTCCTCGATGCCCTGTGTCCCTACACAGGATTTTAAAAAAACACAGAACCCACAAACATTAAACCAAACCGGCCTCTAACACATATTCTTCTGGTTTGGTAGAATAAACAGCAGCTCTGACGCAAGAACGAAAGCTCAAAACCAGAACAAGAAAACGAGAAAAAGCAGAAGAAGAAAAAGGAGCGACGGTGTTTCCCCTTCAAATCGAAAAAAGAGAAATAAAGTCGACATCCGGCTTCGATTTACTGCTGAGCCATCAGAACAACAGTGCATGAGTCTGAATCGGTGCAGGGCAGCGAGCAAACACGACAATAATGAGTCAAATCAGGCTCCGAGCAAAGAGCTTAACTCAGTTCCTACGTCTATGTTCTGACTTACAGCCTGTAGAGTTTGATTAACTAAGTCTGCAAAACTCCTGCAGCAGCCGGTGATGAGGAGATAAAGTCATGAAGCGTCACCAGAACAGAGGAAACACTGCAGATACAGACGCAACTAGAAGCAGAACACATTTCTAAATATACACTTTGATGATACACGTTAGCTCCTGTGTGATGGATGAACCAAACACAGAGACATGAACCAATAACAGAAGCCGGCGGTGAAGCGGCGGCTGTGTTGTTACCTGGTGGGCTCCAGCGGGGGGCAGGCAGGAGGCCACGGCTCGTGGTGAGTCTCCATTTTGTCGATGATCTTGTGACGGAGACTCCGAACGTCACGGGAAAAATCTGGGAGACAAACATTTTGCTGCATGTTTTAAAAGTTCACTGCATTGTGTTTAACTGAACTGTGCAGCGTTACATCAGAACTAAAAGCTCCACCTTGAACAAACATCAGGCAAACGTCAGCACACTGTGTTTATAAAAACCTCTTTCACGCTTCACGTTTGAGTTTTAAATTAAGGCAGAACTTTTCTTTGACGGTGTGATATTAACAGTTTTAGTGAAAAATGGACAGTTCAGATCATAGGTGTGTGATTATATTCTATCAGACGTCTATCAGAGCTGCTCCACCAGCATACAGAGCATACACCGCTGATACTACACATCCCAGAATGCACTGGTAGTGCCCCCCTCCCCCTTCTGTTGACGTTCATTAGAAACTCTTGACATTAATTAGCAGCCTCATGTTGTCGTCACGTCGGGAGAATTTAAGCCACCGCTCACAAAAAATGGCCGAACGAAAGCTGGAAACCAGGAGCCAGAGCGGTGGTGGAGGGTTTTAGGTTTGTTGCAGACTTTTCTGTTTGTCCTTTATTATTAAATACATTTTTTTATTTTTATTTTTTGGTTGTTTTGTTGTTGGGCTGTGAAAATGTGAAAGGCTCCAGCCAGAGAGAGGCATAAGATTTGTATTATTTTTATTCATTTGAATAAAAATAAGAAACAAAAGCCACTGATGGATCCTTTATTTTAAATTTGATTTCTCACGTGTTCATAATATGAAGCTTTGTTTGTTCCAGATTCAATGTTAAAGCAAAACTAAAGTTTGTTTCCACATGAAGAAGTTTATCATCAGAGAGAAAATGAAAAAGTGCACAACTGAAGTCAATTGGTCAATCAATATGGACTCAGGCCTGTGACTTAGTTCTTTGTATTTTAATCCACTGTGTGTCTGACTCTGACAGCCATGATCTAGATGATGCTCTGAAGTCCAGACCAACTTCATGACTTGTTAAACCTACAGCTGGCAAATGCTCACTTTCAATCATGAACCCGTGTTGTTGTAATTTAATGAACTCCAGGCTGTCATCAGACATGAACCTGGTCAGTGAGGGATGAAGAACTACCAGCTCAGCAGTCAAACGTTTCTCCGTCTGCATGAGATGAACGTTGTCTGAACGTCGTCTGAACGTCGTCTGAACGTTTCCTCAGACTGGTCGTGTTTCTGCTCGTACATGCAAACGACTTTTGTGCCAACAAACATTTCGTTCACCGACTGCAGTGAGGTTTTCTTCTCGCTTCCTAAAGCGCCGCGAGCAGAACCGTTAACGTCGGAGCTCGTCGATCCTCTGGTATTTAAAACTCATCCCGACCTGTCGGTGGAAATCAGAGTCGCTGTAACAGTTCAAACAACGCCAGGACGTTGCACAACATCAACCTCTACGTACAGAGGCCAAGAAAAAGAGCTTTTCTTGCTGGTCCGTGCAGAACTACCAGATTAAATTAGCTGAAAATCCCACGGAAAGAAGCCTGCAGAATGTTTGGAGATACGACCAAAACAAATTTGTTGGTTTCCGATTGAGTCCAACATGTTTGGTGTGAACCGGACCAGGACCATCACAGTGGATGCATAGTCCAGACAGTGAAGCACGGAGGTTAAAGTATGATGATACGAGGCTGCATGAGGGCAGAAGGAGTTAAGGAGAGACGACATTTATAGATAAATGTCTGAGGATAAACCAAACAACTGGCTGCAGAAGCTAAGAAGAGGAATATCCAGCAGGAGAACCGTTCAGACGTAACCGGACTGAATGTAATGTTTTATGTTTTTGGGTTGAAACGTCACCAAATCCTGATCAGGGTTCTGGAAAACTTCATTTTTCTTGATAACAGAGGGTCGTAAGTCTGTTCTCACTTAACTTCCTGTACTGTCACTTGAATTCTACCTTTTCTATCACGCGTCTGTCGCCTCAGTTTGCGCTGAAAACAATTAATTTATGTTGTTGCACAGATGTACAGATGTTGTGACGCCACCAGGCAGCAGTAAACGACAGACAGAACCAGCAGCCACTGTGGTCCGATTCATCCTTTCCTGTATCATCAGAACGCAGACTGGCAGGACAGCAGGTGTGCCTCCAGCTTTAAGACTTTAAGACTAAAGAGCCAGAGACGCCCGTTAATTAAAGCACAAAATCACACGAGAGTTTCTACACATGAACGAACTGAAATCTACGACACGGACAAGAATGTGACTCGACTTGAATCCAATAGAACACGAACCCTCCGGCAGAGAACAGCCGAGAGACTGAGTCTGTCAAGAAAGTATCTGCACAAATCCACATCGAGGAGGTTTGATTCTGCCATCAAACAGAAAGCTGGATGCACAAAGTGTGGAAAAGATTAATGATTTGAATGTCAGTGCTGCCTTTTGTGTTAAACTTTAAATACAGTCAATGTAAACTGTTAATTTTTAATATTACGCAAAAGCAAATACCTACAGATCAACTTAGAAGTGTTATTTATTTAATAATTTGCCATTTTATATGATGTTGCACAGGTGTGTGTCCACTTTTACCTACATCTGTATGTGAGAATAGTGCATATTAAAGCTGAGCTGAGCCAAAAATAAAACATATCAGACTAATTATCTTTGCACATGATCTTGCATCAGCATGACGCCTGTTGAAACTGCATGAAAGACAACTGAAGGTGGAGCCCGTAAATAAACAGACTGCGTTGCTTCACTGTGTGGTAACGTTACCTTTAAACGACAGTCCTGTGGAATCAGCGGCCGAGTACGCGTGGAAGAACTGTGAAGAGAAGAGGGAGGTTCTGGTTAGGAAGGAAGAGGAGATCGGGTCGGACGGGCCTCACACGGCCGTGAGAGGAGGTTGTGTAACGTTTGGTTGGGGGGAAGCCTTGACCTCCGAAACCCTTCCTGGTTCAAATGAGTCGCAGATGTTAAAGCTGCATTGTGAGTTCAAACAGAAGGAGCTCTTTGTTTCTCCGGATCGACCGGGAGCAGAGGCCTCCACACACGGCGCTGCTGAATAATCAGCCGCGGATACGAACGCAGATGTTTGAGGAGATTTCTGCAAGTCGAGGCTGCTGATGGTGCAGAAGTTAACTCCACTGGGATCTGTCAAACTCACGTTAATATTCAGGGCATCAGAAATCCCATATAGAGCCCGCTGCATTCAGATAATACGAGGACAACTGGGCCTTTCTCACTCACTAATGAGCATTTTACAAAATAAATCCTACAAATTATGCAGTTATTAAAAGTTAAACTACAAGAAAACATCTGCTCTTACATGCAATAATACAAAAATCTTAACAACACGCATAAAAAACACAAAAATCAGATAAAAACTTTGATTCCAAGTACGTAAAATGGGTCGGTTGTTTCTGCAGAACTTGTTGAAACATTCCTAATTTTACAGCCGGTTTCAGAATCGTACGGCAGAAGTGTGGAACCTCATGGGAGCAGCATCGGTATGCATGTTAATGTGCTGCTGCGAAGTAGTGACCGCCGTATGGCAGAGATGTGGTGAAGCCGTTTCTGATTTATTCTCTTACGTAAATGATGGAAAACAGGATAAATAGAGGTCCAGAGTAAAGGTAGCTTGATTCAGCAGCAGCTGAGGGCTTCGCTCTGTTTCGATCAAGGAAAAATCCAACAGAGTGTCATTAAGTTAAAGGAAACAACTGGTAATTATCTTGATTATTCCAGTTAATACATATTTAAGTTCCTTGTTTCGGCTCAAAATATTCAGTTTAGTTTCACAGCAGACCTGAACATCAGAGCAGGAACCAGTAGACGTGATTTAAACGGTGAACTGATGATTAAAATTGGTGCAGATTAATTTTCTGTCCGTCAACAAACCAATTATTTTAGCTTCGTACACAAAGTAGCAGAACAAAAAGGTCTCTTCTTTATCTTTCTTTTTGTTTTTTTCCCCATATTTACATGTTTAATTCAGCTTCGTCTTTCACAGAGACCTTTATTAGAAATACATTTGAATAATTAACAGTAACTTTGAGTGATTTTCATCTGGGCTCTGAGCCCTCAGCCTTTAAAACCGACATTATTAACCGGCTGCTTAAAATACCTGATATTGATCCACATGTTCTGAAGATTTATGGACCGATTTCCAATCTTCCTTTTATGTCGAAATTACTTGAAAGGGCAGCAGCTGATCAACTTCCTGCCTACTCATCAAACAACGGTCTTTTTGATTAATATCAATCTGGCTTTCAGTCAATGATCTGCTAATTAAAGCTGATTTACTTTCAGATTTGGAGAAGGATGTTGGCATCAAAGGCTTGATGAGTTCATGGATTTATTCATATTCATCAAACAGGCCTGAATGTGTAACTTAAAATAACACAACCTCTGACCTTTATAAAGTAAGTTTGGTGTCCCACAGGGTTCAATCTTTGGTCCTTGTTTTTTTTTTTCTATCTCTCGGCTTCCTCTTGGTGGCAAACTTTGCAAACACTAATTTTCATCACTACGCTGATGATACACACCTCTATATATACACCTGTACAGCCATGTGACCTCTCCCAACTCCAACATTTAGAGGTATGTCTGTCAGAAATGTAAAAAAGAAATGAATGATGATGAAGTTATTAGTTGTTCAATTGGCTAAATGTGGGCTTTATGTGATAAACTGATGGTTAAAGCTGAAGTAGGCAGTTTTATTTGGGTAAAAATTCCATTACAACCGTAAAGAATGTTGTAATTTAATTGATATCAGATGAAATTGGACTTCTGCGCGTCCTCTTGTCTCCTTTTTCATCCTTTAGAAAATCTGTCAGGCGATGGATGGAAGACTAGCCAATCACAGGTCTTTTCAGAGAGTGGTTGTTTCTATTGGCTGTTTTACAAATGCAGGTGTGTTCCTTCAGACGATGAAAAGCCCGATTTAATGGTGGAAAATCCTGCAGGAAGCATTGCTATTCCAGCGTTAGCAACAGCTGCCAAAATTAAAACTAATAAAGTAACATGTCTGGACTGCTGTACTCTCAAAAAGAGAAACAATTAAAGCAGTAAAACATGAGTCAGCATCACCAGTGAACTCAGAACTGGAGAATAATCCAACACTTACTACAATATGTTCTGTTTTCTTCTTCTCATGCACAGATGAGCTGCTCACTTTATTTGATCTAAATGTGTTGGTTTTGTTAAGCAAGCTGGTGACGAGTGGTTTTGGTGACAAATGCTAGCAGCTTAGCTCGATGCTAACTGCAGGCAAAATGTTCCTATGTACAACTTATTTCATGGAGTTTCACTTTTATTGTTATGTTTTTTCCCTCCTAGATTTCTGTCCCAGCTTTAAAAACTCACTCTTTAAAGGGGAGAAAATCAAGCTGTTCTTCCTTGTAACCACCTCCATGTTGCGTTTTTTATCTGCTGGAACACTAAAAACATACATGAGCGACGTAAGCAGTTAAAGCTCCAGCTGACTGTCTCCACCTTGAAGCTGCAGGCTCAGAAACACAGATTCAAACTATCAGGGTTTCACACTTAATCTAAAAAAAGAAAAACGCTGTCAGCTGGCAGGGTGGAGCTTCCTGTGTCATTACTCCTCGTTTATGGTTCGAACACGTCCAGCCGGATTACTCAAAATTACAACTTGCTGCCGTGAAGCGTCGAGTAGTTTCACGGTGTTTGAGCAGAGTCGTGGGTGAGCTGGTGTGCTCGAGCAGGGAGGTGAGGGAATAGAGAGGCAGCGGCTACATAGATCAATGCATTTGGAAGCGACGGTGTTGGAAAAAACTTCTAAATATGGAACTCTGATGCACATAAATTTGTTTTTAGGAGTTAAATCAACGACCAGACAGTGACTTTAACACTGACGACACATTATTTCTTTCTGACATTCCAGCTTCACATCACCACGACGGCATTTTTTCATCTTAGCAATGCTATGAAACCACCTGTATTATATCCCTGCATGATGCTGAGATGTCAATTCGTCTTTATGCAATATTCTCTGGTCTGACTCGTCGGAGCTTGTTCATAAATGCTGACTCACGACAAAAACTCTCGAACGTCGTTGTGCAACAGCATCCTGGCCTCTGCTCAGCGGCTACAGGTGCAAGCCAGAGCTGACTTTAAGGCTCTTCTTTTATCTTCTGAGGCCCTGCAGCGCCTTATTTATCCGACCTAATTATACCAACACGCCCTCTTTGATGCTGCTCGTTCCTCTGCCTGCTGGGCTGCTCATCTCTGGACTGAAAACCGGCTTTTCTTCACTTCATCACAACTTTTTCAAACACCTCTTTAACTCTTTGAATAACTTTCATTTCCTTGTTGCATGTTTTGTCCCTTTAACCGACTGCCTCGTGGTGGTTCTCCACGACTGATCTGACCAAACCATCAGCTTCCTGTGCAGCGTGATACCTTGATGGTGGGATACCCTCTGATCTTGTAGCTCGTGCAGACCTTCCTGTTCTCCTCCGATGCGCAGTCCACGGCTGCCAGGTTCACAGCTGGCTTCCACTCTGAGGAACAGACATCAAACAGAGATCCACGGTAAATATTTAGTGTACTGTCTGCCGCAGCCCACTGGCACCGCGGGCCGGCATTGTCCTGCTGCCATGTGTGTCAATAGAGAATTTGGTCAGTCTTGTCAAAAAGGAAAAACGCTGTATTTTCAACAGGTCAGTGAATGCATCCTGCACATCCAGAATAAAGGAGTGCATCAGAGCAGTGTTTCTTTGCAGGCTGGTGTAAAATACCCCTCAGATTGGGCAGTGCTTCTGGTATCGGCACCTATTCCTGATATTTCCCTGTAAAATTCCGCTGCCTCCCAGCATTTTGAAAACCTGCCAAGCCATCGGTGGCCATTGTTGACCGAGTGTGACGGCGAAACACTGAACAGAAACGCTGTGTGACGGAGACGCCAGACAAGTTTACGTCCGTCTGCTTTTATCTGAGTGAGGGCGTCATAAAGTGCAAATACTTTATGTCCGTGGAGGCAGACGGAGGGAAAGAAATGTTTAAATTTATAATGTAATCAAGCTTAACGTTGGTTTGTCCTCTAAGTGTTTGGTTTGTCTGACATCATGGTTTATATTTGGAAGTTTAACTGCAATTAAGATGCTTTACAAATGGGAAATGATCTTTTTTACGATCCTCCTGTGAGCTGTGATCCTCAAAATATCGTCTTTATGGCAGAAATCAAGTTATTCTGATGCTTTAACAGCATTTCAGTCACTGTGTGGGCGGCATTCACGGCTTTATCACAGGAAAACTGCTTTATCAGACTTGAAGTGGTCCTTTAAAGCAATTTCATCTGCTGGAAACAACTGGATGGTTATAATCCGGGTCACGGAGCAGGTAAACTCATGCAGAAACATTAGGATGATTGCAAAACACATCAATTCTTCACCACCGTTTGGCAGCACTGGGCCTTCTGCCACCAGCACAAAGTTTGAGCTTCACTTCCATCCTAATTAGTTTTTATTTCCTCATCTATCTGTGGTATTTCTGCTCAATCTGTCAGAGGATGGAAAACACTTTTATTAGATCACATGCTCTAATTAACAGATAGCAGCAGCAGCTTGGTGCTTCCACTGTTTCCATGCAGATAAATAACTCTGGCTGTATTAAACCTGACAGAATTAAATGTAGGTTTTTAGTTTTAAACGTTTAAAAGCGTCCCGCTGACTCGCCTTGTCGTGCGCAAAACTGAAACTTGTTCGCAAAGTGTCACAGGGTCGCGCTTCATGAGGGATTATTATAAAGAAAAAGAATAAAAGAGCAACCAGCGTCCGCACCAACCTTTAATGTCTCTGGCCAGGCTCTTGTAAACCGGAGAGAAGGCGATGCAGTGTCCGCACCACGAAGCGTAAAACTCCACGACCATCGCAGCTGTGGAGTTGATCAACGCCGACTCCACGTTCGCCGGAGAGAGCACCAGGATCTGGTCGGAGGCGGTGTACAGTCCGGCCTCCGCGGCGGAGGGAACGAGCAGGAGCCACAAACTCAGCCACACGGCGGATTCTGCGACCTTCCCGGGACTTGTGTGCTCGGTAGACCGAGACGTGGCACGGCCGCGGCGCCGCGCCATCTTCCCCTCCGAGCTGCTGCTGCTGCTGCTGCCGCTGAGCGTCGGTCGGTCGGTCGGTCGGAGCGCAACACTCTCCGGCCGCCTGTCACCACAAACTTAGCACAACTTTTTGCTGCCTCTCCGGTTTTGTTCGCGGCCAGCAGGCTTGGCGGGTTCCTCCCCCTGCGGACGGAGCGCCCACCGCCCCGGAGCCCAGCGCGCAGGACCTGGACCTGCTCAGAGAGGAAGGGAGACGTGAAGTGGAGGCGGTTTGACGCGCCGCGCGGCCACATTAATACAGGAAATAAGCGTCATGACCTCTGATGTCAGGCTGCGCTCACAGGGCTGAAGATCACAGCAGTGACCAGGACTGGCTCTAAACAAGTTCTAGTATATGAAAACATATTTATTCTAATGGTTATTTTTCCATAAAAAGTGATGCTGGTATCATGTAAACAAACTGGCAGCTAAAGGGTTAAAATCCTAAAAAAAATAATGGAAATTAGTTTAGACTGATGTTGGTTCTAAATATTTATATATAAAACACAGGAAAACAGCAAAATAATACATATTATATATTTACATGGATTGTTTTTTACTCTGGCATTTCTGTCTTTGAGGTCCTGAAGGTGACTTTTTATTAAAAATCAGACACTTTACAAAAATAATAATGCATCACAATCAGTGTTGCTGCTCATCATTGACATGTCATATGACAGTTAATTAAACTTTAAAAACACAATAAAAGATAATATTAGTTCTATGTAAACAAAGTGGTAGTTAAAGAGTTAAAATTCTAATAATAATAATAACAATAATTCCAATAATAATAATAATAATAATGTAAATTAGTTAAGACTGATGTTGGTTATAAATGTATAACTCAGAAAAATAGGGAAATAATAGTAATATATATATATTATATTTTCATGGATTTTTTTTTTTTGGACTCTTGCATTTCTGTCTTTAAGTTCCTTACTGTGGAGATTGGTGTTGTTGTGAACTACTGACAAATCCCAGAATGTGACGATCAAAAGAAGTGTTTTTCACCGACTAGTTACAATTTTGTGTCTTTAAAAAACAAACAAACAAACAAACAGTGGCATCATGTAAACAAGCTGGCATTAGAAGGAGGAAAATGAATGAATATTTGTTTGTTATAATCAGGACTGGTGTTGGTCCAAAAAGCCAACTTAGGATCAATATTTAATATTTTTATTGCAGTTTTTTGATGCAGACATTTTTGTCTTTAAGGTCCTGAAGTGATTTCTGTATAATTATGACCCTCAGCATCACCAGATTTTCACACAAGCCCTAAAGGTAGACAAAAAATATTACGTCATTTATTTATTGAGAAAAAAATAATCCAGTATTACACATCTGTATGTGAACCTTTGCTTTTATATTTGCTGCTCTAACAGCACCTGAACATTTCTGGTCATCAGTCCTGACCATAGACATAAATAATAAAAGCCTTTATTATGTTTATCTATGGTCCTGCCCATCAGTTTGGAAGGATTTTAGCTCGTTTCATCTCTGGGTTTCCTCACATGAGCTGCTCTCCTCGGCTCCTTCCACAACACTTCTGTTGGATTAAGGTCAGGACTTTGACTCGGCCGTTACCAAACATTAGTTTTATTCTCCGTTGTCTCGTGGTGTGACCCACTTCCTCCTCAGATTCAGGCTCTCTTGACTTCAGACGTCCTGACTTTAACTCCACAACTTGCTGGTAGAATCTGTTGTTTCATCTGTTGATGGAGAGCTGAGAATGAAACCAGAGTTTTATTTTGGTTCCCCACAAAACGCTCCAGCAGCCTTCTTGCTTGTCTGCGTGATGTTTGGCAAACTGTACACGGGCAGTAATTCTGGAGAACAGTATCTTTGTCTGCCGTGCACAGCGCTGTTCTTGTTGTTCTTGTTGTTCTTGTTGTTCTCTGGATGTTGGATTCACTCCCGTCAGCCGATGTGATGTTTCCTTCAGCAGCTCAGAGGTCAACCAGGGTTCCTGTGTGACCTCGCAGCAAAGTTCACGTCTTGATCTTTGAGGGTTCTGTTGGTCAGCTGAAGGTTCTGTGACCTTTTCCAGCCTGATGAGCATCAAAAGGTCTTTTTCTAAGGCCAACAGGACGTCTCCTGTTTCCGCTCACGTCCCATCGTCACCTCGTTCATCAAATACTCCAGTTTCACCTTCAGTTAGCTGCTAATCCAACAAGATCGCACAGTTTAGCCTCTTATGGATAATATTTGATCATTTTCAACAATATATAAATGATTTTTGTCTCATGAGTGTCATTTGTTTTCCCTCTTTATCTGCTTTTAGGACTTGTGTGTAAATCTGATGATGTTTTACGTTGTATTTGTGCAGAAAAGACAGAAAATTCTAAACGGTTCAACCACCACCGATTATTGATTAAACTTTATTCATTAAGGAAAACCATGAAAGGTGTAGATTTGAAAAAATAAAAAAGGTTTTACTGGTACTTATTTGATTTTTTTTGTAAATATGTTTCCAATAATTCCTTGAAAGAAACCCAATGTGATTCTTAGATCATCTTACTGTAATAATACAAAGTTGTCTTTCTCTGATGTTTCTGAAACATCAAACTACAATAAAACACAGTTTCTGTGTCGACGATCACAAAGATTTGTAAATATTACCAAAATAAGAAGTGATGTTACCCTCATGAAACCTCTAAATATCACAAGATGTATAACAGACAAATTTAACCGTCTAAAACTTTTGGATTTTCTTTTAATTCAATTCAATTCAATTTTATTTGTATAGCGCATATTTACAACAACAAGTCATCTCATAGCGCTTCACAAAGGCAGAAACAGAAACACCAACAATCCAAAACATCTGGATTCCCTATAAGCTTCAGCAGTCCGCAACAGTGGGAAGGAACCGAAAACCCCCGCAGGGGAAAAAAAACCTCCGACAGAACCAGGCTCAGGGAGGGACGGCCATCTGCCTCCACCGGTTGGGTGGATGTAGGATCAATTATACAATTTAGTTTACAATTAAACAAGTTAAACAAGTTATTAGAAGTTACACAGAAGAAGTTTTTCACGCCCAGTTTAATGAATCTAAGTGATTATTTAGGTTGGGCGAAGCAAAGTTAATTTAATCTAAAATTCCCATTTGTTATTTATTTCACCAAAAATAAATCAGCGTTTGAGTAACAAATTATGTTTTGACGATATCAATAATTTCAATAAAAACACTTCAGAGTGGTGAACTCACATTAATCAGCCTCCAGAATGACAATTATGACTCATTGATTCCTGTTTTCAATCCGACCAAAATGTCTTTAAATCCCGAAGAGGATTAAAAAATACAGAATTTTAAAAAGGCTGCAAGGTGGAGCAGTGGGTAGCACTGTTGCCTCACAGCTAGAAGGTCGCCGGTTCGTGTCCCGGTGAGGACACCCGCATGGAGTCTCCATGTTCTCCCCGTGCAGCGTGGGTTCTCTCCGGGTTCTCCGGCTTCCTCCCACAGTCCAGAAACATGTTGAGGTTAATTGGTGATTGTAAATTGTCTGTAGGTGTGAATGTGAGTGTGCTTGGTTGTCTGTCTCTAAGTGTAGCCCTGTGATAGACTGGTTACCTGTCCAGGTGAACCTGCCTTCACCCTGAGTCAGCTGGGATAGACTCCAGCCCCCCATAGTGAGGATGAAGGTGTAGAGATAATTCAACAGTTCTAATCTAAAACTGGTTGTCTAACATTTTTAAACACGCTTGGGCTGTAAAAACAGCAGAATTACCCTTTAAAACTCCCTCGTTTTAATAAATCAAAGCACAGAAACTGAATGTAAACTCCTTCTAGTGTCATTAAAAGCCTCCAGATTCACAGAAATGTGACTTTAATGCTGCTGTCAGGACAAATTCACTAACAGGCAGTTACTAAAGTCTTCTTTTCTTTCAGACGTTGACAGAGTTGTTCCTTCAGTGCGGCCAAACACAACCTTCAACCACATCCACATCCAAACATGTAATTCCAGATGTGCAGAAAACAAGCGACAAACCGCAACATCCGAGTTTGGTTTGTACCCAAACATTACGGGAACGCCGCGCCGTGAATTAAAAAACCCACCAGGAGCGGCGTGTTCCTTTAGAAACGATGAAAGCTTTATTTACAGTTTCAAATTTCATTTAGTTAACAAATATATACTATGTACATATTTGCAGAGTAAACAGTGTTTATTTGTACAACAATCGTCGGGTTACAGTAACGGCGGGTCGGATCGGACGCACAGAATATTTACACCCAGAAAAAAAAACAACCAAAAAAAAAGAATTGTACAAGTCTTCAAGTGCACTTGGAGCGCACTCACAGCAAATCATTATAAATACTCATAAACATCTGAGAAGATGGAGGAGGAAGGAGTGGGTCGGCGTGACAATCAGAACGGTTTGTGCCTACTGTGAAGTTTCCTCGGATCAAAACCTTTTTTTTTTTATTTGATTTCAGGTGAAACAGCTTCAAGCTACATGTTTGTATCTACAGCTGAGGTCGAAGCTGTTTGGTCCACACGTACAAAACGACGACGACGAGGAGTACTGCATAGTTAGAGAGGAGCTCGGCGTCCTCGGGCGTACAATCAGTTCAGGACGACGATGGGAGGGTTTGAGACGAAGCCTTGCAGTTTGTAGAGTTCCAGTCATGTCACCGTTACAGTTAAATAGAGAGCAGGAGGCGTACAGCATGGACAGACTGGTATCAAATGTTTTTGGTCTTTTTTTTCCTCCTCTACATTTTATATAATTTACAGTTTGAACATATTATCGTAGCAACTGTTAAAACACTGACAGTAGAAAAAAAAAAAGACTCAGTTTAAGGTCACTTTAGCTCCAAACAGTCAGTGAGGATTCGCTCAGTCTGCTGGACCGACGGTGGGACCCATGAAGCCCTTTGAAACAGTCCAGCTCCGAGAGTCAAACCGCCCGAGTGTCCACAAACTAGTTCCTGATTCGGTGTATCAATAAAAATGACTCAGCTGTGTCCGGCGACAGGCAGGTAGCTTCTAGACTGAACGCTACGTCCTCAGGCGGAGGCACGGGGGGGAAGTGAGAGGGTTCGTATAGAAAACCACTGCGCTACAGAAAGACCGGATAAGGCAGAAACTGAATGACTGGTAAACCGGTAAGAAGGAAGAGCAGCCGTCTGAGGATCAGTTAGAAAACATGGTAGTGTACAGCAGTCGAAAGAGACATTCGAAGAAGAAAAATAGGTCCAAAAGGAAGCTGAGACACCAACAGAAGTGGTTAGAAAACCTACGACTCAACTCAAAGAGGCACTTAAACAGAATAGAGGCCGCGACTACATTAACGGGCTTCTGTCTGGACTCGCTGATGGCCGGAAACAGCAGCAGCAGCAGCAGCAGCAGCAGGAGGAGGAGGTGGAGGAGGTGGAGCGCCGAACCGAGCAGGTGTGTGTTTTCTGTTTCAGGGTAAATGCTCTGCTGATAAACAAACAACCACGAGTGTTTTCTCAGGAAAGAAGAACGGACCGGAGGATCATCCAGCATCTCAGGACTGTCCCATAATGCAATGCTTTTTAAAACATCCAGTTTTCTGTGTCCCACCTCGGTGCTGTAAATATCTAAACTAATGTGTATTTGGAGTTTGATTTCACAAAACGCCAGCTCGGCTTCTGAGTGCGACACAGATGGATGCTTTTGTCGCACAACGAAGCTAAAACGACCGAGCAGCTGGCAGTGGAAAGACAAACACAGCTTCAGTTAAAGGCTGCTTCCTTGCAGGCTGTGTGAGTTTTTCCTCACCCTGTCGTATATAACATGAACATAGAGCAGAGAGGTGGGACACAGGGATCGCCTCGACCCGCCGGACAGCCGCGGCCACAAATCAAACACCAATCATTGACAACTTTAAATATGAAAACCGATTCCTCCTCGGCGTCCTGTTTCCTGGTTTCTCCTACATAATGTATTGCCATATTCACATTCACATTTCTATTTGTGCTTTTACATTAGATTTTTCTTTACACAACGTTAAAACCATCTCTTCTCTCCATTTACAATTCTTTTCTCTTCCCATCGAACATTTGTACACAATAAATAATTAAGGAGGCAAAAATGTTTCGCATAATATCTGAACTCGGTGATTTTCCAGCGCAGTGCAGTTTGACTGGACCTGAACGGTGACCTGCTGTCTGAGCATCATGAAGGTAAAGTGCTGACTTTGAGCTTTAGAGGTCTTTGTGTCCATATCGGGGGAATTATGTTGGATTTATTTATGCATAGTGTCTAAAAACGACCCATTCAAAGCTACGTTTTAGCGCGTCTCAGACCAGACAACAATCGAAAGTCCCTGTAAACAAGCAAGAGCTGCTCAAAAGTCAAGATTTCAGCCAGTTTTATCATTTAAGGCAAACTTACAGGCCTCCAAACAGTGGAAGTCTGTGAATAAAAGAATCCCTTCACACGCTAAAGTCAGCACTTTGACCTCATAGCTTCATCTCAATGATTCACTGTCAGGTCTCAAAGTGCACTGTCTTCACTTCATCTGCTATTCTATTACAATTTCTGAATCCATATATATATATATTTATATTTACTTAAAGATTCAACACAACCTACTGCCGTTTCAGTTGGATGTGAGTTAAAGTCCACAGAGGAACAATCAACGTAGCAGCATTCACGGACTCCAACACGCTTACAGATGGCACGGTCCGTCCCGTCGACGCTCGCTCTCCAACTGGCAGCGACTAAAAAGGACCAGTCCAGGAGGCGAGAACTGAGAATAGACGGTGTTAAGGTTCCTAGAAGGCTGGATTGCTCAAGAGGCGTTTTGTGTGAAAAAAAAAACAAAAAAAACTATCACCACCACAGTCGGCTGAAGCAAATTCAGCAAACGAACGAGACAGAAAGAAAGTTGTTCAGCCGAGAGGTAATACTGGGACCGAAGGCATCAGAGGGTTGCAGTTGGCACGTCAGCTGGTGGAAGCCCGAGCGGCGGGAGGTCGGCCGGAGTTGACTTTAGGGGGAGTTCAGGAGTAAAACTGAGACCGAGCATCGAAGCAGGAAACTCGTCAGGAGAGGCCGTCCCGTTTGTTGGCCCTCTTGTCGGAAATCAGCGTGAGCACGTTGGCGGTGTCCTTCAGCAGAGCGTCGAAGATGCTGTCGGCCAGCTGCATCTTGACAAACAGCTCGTCCTCGTCGTAGTTCACCCACTGGGCCTCCTCCTCGTGGAGTTCCTGGACCTGAGACACGGAGACAATCAGCTGCTCAGTACAAATCGAGCCACTCAGGGATTCTGTTATTAGAACATAAAGTTTGTTCTTCAGCCAAAACTTGCTCCTGATTTTCTAAGACGGTGTTTACATCTGCTGAGCACCTGTTGATAGACTTTATCTGGATTTTCAACTAAATAATGTTCATATAAATCAATAAAACACTGAATCTGTGTTTTCAACCTTAAACATCAAAATTATGAACATTTCTTAAACTGGTGTTGCCGTTTACAGAAAATAATTTAATCCTGTCAAATTCTGACAAAACATAAATACAAACTGATTTAATTCTGGGTTTGAAAGGTGTATTATCTTTATAAAAACTGCCAAAATTAGACCAGATATCAGAGCCAGAAAGTGTAAAAAGAGAAAGAATAGTCAGATTTTCATGTTTCTGATGATCCTTGACCTGCAAAATTGAACCAAATCTAAGCTTAAAATAAAGACATTTCCTCAAATATTAGATTTGATATAATATATTTTTATTTTAGATGTTTATTTTTATAAAATCACCAAACATTAACTGTTTGCCAGATTCTGTAAATAACTAAATACTTGGTGCTCTTTGGTACAACTGTGAAGCCGTTTGTGACTCAGCTGTGACCAGAAACCATGTGACGAAAACTTTAAAGACTTTTCATTGAACTGCAGGAAGAAGAACGAAGAAGAAAAAATATCTATCGTATGTAGAGTCATCATTTTTTCCAGTATTGGTAACATCTGTGGGCACCTGGACAGTTTAAAAAGGTTTGTAAAATAAGTAATGAAGAAAATTCAACTCAGTTTTTCCTTTTTTTTAATGACTTGTGGCATCAGATGAGATGTTCTGTCCGGCTGAAATAAAACCCGACATTGTGAACTGATGCTCTAAAGTCACATTTGAACACATCTCATCGTGGGCCTTACCAGTATGTGGTCCACTCTGTCCCGCTTCTTTCTGCCAAACTTGAGCATCTTCTGCCAGTCGGTCTTCTGGTTGTGATCTTTCGTCAGACCAAAGAGTTTCAGGACTTCGGTCGCGATGAATTCCTGTCCAATAAAAAAAACATGCCTCGTCATCTCGTGTGCGACGGACGGGACGATGCTTGACTGTAAGTTTTATTACTGCATATAAAATCTGAGGGTGGGGAAAGGTCAAAACTTCAACTTTGTTTACACTCAACAAATAAGAAATCAGCCGCTGAAAGTTAAACCCTGAGCAAACTCCATCAGGTTCATGAGGTCATTCTAGAAATGCTCCTATTTGAACAACAAAATTACACATTTAGCACAACTCTAAACAAATACCGACTACTGGAAAAATGACGCAGATGCTCGCTGACTGGTGATGTGAACTAGTCCTGTGGTCGCTCTGCTGGGAGCATGTGTGAACTTAACAGGAACTGACTTTATACATCCGCTATAAATAAGCTGAGGTGTAGTTTAAAAACATCTGACATGAGCTCAGAGAAAAGGCCGAGCTTTGTTTGTTTGTTCAAAGAAAGTCACCATCAGCAAAAAAAACCCAAAGTACTGTCCACTGTAGCTGGGAATAAATCCAAAAACAGACGATCTGACTGAACATGCAGCCTCACAAAGACCAGCAGCAGATCAAAGCACATAATTTAAAGTAAAATCAAGTAAAACGGACAAGAAACAGCAGCAAGAACCACTTCAGAGATCAACTACCAGAAACAACTCAGAACAAAACAGAACCAATAAGTACAGCTGATGAGTAACTACAGTGGAGCTCAAAGAAAAAGAAAGCTCAGATTCATATTTGCACAAACAGACATGAGTCTTTGTAGATGTGGGCTATTTTCCAATGAGTTCAACCTGGATGTGATGGTGAACGTTTGGAGAAACCAAACTGCACGACAATAAAGTCTCAGGTGTTTTATTTTCACACGCTGAGGCTGAACTTTCACCGATTACTGATACAACCATGAACTCTGAAGTCTACAGAGGAATTCTGGATGCACATTTAGAAAACATTAACCAAAAGCACTGAGGAAGTATTGTGGTAAGCGTGTTATTAAAAAAATAAGAAGTCTGTCCTGCAGCACTGTACCTGGATTTTGTTGATGTCGCCTGGCGTCTTGACTCTGTGAAAGGAGGAAGACTTGACTCGTCGTGGTTTGACCCACTGAGGCTGGTCAGTGTTGGGGTCCTCAGCATAGATGTCCTGAAGGATCTCCCACGTCAGGTCATACACAGCCTGGAGAGAGACGGCAATGGCTGTGCTTAGTACTTAAATATGAACTATTAATTAAAACTGAGCTGAAAACTTAAGACTAAAGATCAGGCTTTTCTGCTTTTCTTGTCAAGTGACCCCAAATTAGTTGCACATAAATGAATCCGATGACACGTCAGCAACATGTACTGCTCAGCAGCTTTGGTATTGTCATCCAACGACAACCATAGTAGCTGATAAGGCAGCAAAGACACACATGACCAAACATTGTGGGGGTCTAACTAGTGAAGGACAGCCATGACAGAGTCTGCAGTGATGGTTAATGCTTCCTGAGCAGAGCTGGTATATTCAATGTGAGCCTGAACCTAAAAGCAAACTTCTTAATCTTCGTTAGTGAGCTGCTTCAAAGACTTATGCTGCATGTTTAAAACATAAAATAACATGTTTAAAAGTAGCTCTATAAGCATATGAAGTAATGCCCGCTGTTGTTGTTCCTGTTATTGATTAATACGGCTGCAGATTAAAAGGTGAAGAAAGCCTTCTTGCATCCCTAACCCGATCCAAAGCATCCGACTAACCGAGGCAGTAACTGGAGCAGCAGCAGACCAAAGAGTCTCTGGCTACAGGGACATCGAATGAAGATCAACTGAAACCGTTGTGTGGTCTTGAAAACATTCAGATGTTCATCTGAGAGGAATCTGCTGAATCACTCTAACTTTCCTGGTGTTTAACCTCAGAGGACGTATGTAGATCAAACCCTGTGTCGGAGGCCCAGCTGCCTTTGGTGTTAGATGACTGCAGCATGACAATAGTGTGTTACGTTCTCACTGGTTTGCTTCGTAGTGAACAGAAATGGAAGTCTGTGATTTTAGAACGACATCTGTTTTTGTTGCATACACTTTGTTTTCCAGTTCTAATTTTTACCTTTTTGTAGCTGCGGATGGACAGGGCCTCCTGGTCCTGGCTGCTGGACTCTTTGCCCAGATACTCTTGAGAAGGTTGAGGGTTTGACAGTTGTGCGAGGGTCAGTGCTCCCTCCTTGCCGAGGTCACAGCTGTCCCAGATCTCCTGTGTGGCAGCGTAGACCATCTTCTCCACCTCAGTGGCCGAGTGGGGCACCACCATGGCAGGCTGCTCGGGTAGTTTGGGAGGCATGGGGAGAGGCAGCTCAGGTCTGGGTGGAGTCTTTACCTGCTGCTCCCCACCTGGAGACGAAACCATCCCCCCCATAGCTGAGCCGGCGGATGAGCCTCCTCTTCCTGCTCCCAGCCTTTCCTCTTCCTCTTTCTCTTTGAGTCTTTGCTGTTCCCTGCGTGAGCTGAGGCCGAAGTCCTCATCAAACCAGTCCTGATCGTCGCCTAGCTCATCGAGCAGCTCACGGCTCAGTTCCAGCTCTGCCAGTCGCTTGGCAAGCTCTTCTTGGCCACTGGCCCCCAACACTGGACTCTCCTGTTGTGACAAAGAAAATGTGAATTTCATGCATACTTTCCTTTTTAAAATGAGAAAATTCCATAAATCCTGATACCGTCTCGCAACAATACAGGACAAGCCTAATTAATAATCATGATTTCACACTTTAATGCCGCCTTGAACAGTCACCTTTCTTACTAATGTTTCAGACACAGAGGCTTTCAGTAAAGACCACCAAATTCAATAGTCTGTAAACATGCAGTCGGACTTTGGCTGAACACATCCCTAAAACAAGGGTTCTCGGGGTCAGATAAACAAGAACTGTTTGTCAGTGACTTGATACGATCACGGCTCGTGCTTCCCGACAGAAAAAATTCTAAAGTTCAATCAGTTATTACGCAAAACGGCATCAAAACTGTTGACTTGTTGCTGACTTTCTGACTCAAAACATGGAAGCAAAATGTTATTCTCGTGTAAAACTTTCAGCGGCGTGAAAGTCAAGAATCAAAAACACACTCACAGGTCGGTTGCACAGTTCTGGAGAAGACAGCTCCTCTTTTTCAGGCAGGAAGAAGGGCAGCCCATCTTTTTGTTCCACTGAAGACATCCACTCTTGTTCTTCTTCAGCCATTTCACCAAACAGGCCTCCGTTCATCTGGTTGGCGGCTTCGATCTTCTGCTCTTTAGACTTTTTGATTTCAGCAAACTGCTTGACAGCGTCTTTAACAAAGCTGTCGAGAAGCTTGTCTGCGAACGTGTCCAGCGAATCTTTGTCCCTCTCTTCTCTCTTATCATCCCTGATATCTGTTGTGAGATCAGCAGGAGTAACGTGTCTGTTGGAGTCGACGTCTTCTCTCTTGACGAGGCTTGTAATTTCTGTCTTACTCTGCTTCACAAAGTCTACTTTATCCATGTCAGATATGATCAGAGTGTGAGACGCGTCTTCAAAATCCAGCATTATGTCCCTCGTGTTGCCATTAGAAACTGGATGCTTGGATTCTTTGTGATGCTGTGAATTGAGGTGGGATTTGGCCATTTGTGGAGTCTGGCTCTTGTGAAGAGACTCATTCGTAACCTTTTTATCTTCAGATTCAGCGTCTTTACAAGATGTCTGTTCGTTTCTACTCCCCAGATCGGCCTGTTTTTGGGAATTGTCCTCATCTGTTTTGCGTTTACTCTCACCTTTATCGGGCGAGTCGTCGAAAAACGAGTCCTCGTCCTCCGTGGTATCCGTGTAGATCTCGAACTTGTCGGGGAGGTGAGAGATTTTGTCTGGAGGGGCGAAGATACCGTGACTCTCCTCACACTCGAAGTAAACCACGCCATCGTAGGTGCCGTTGTTGCTCCCTTCAGACTTGTCCAGCTCCACGCCGGCCCAGAAGCCATTGGCAAAGCTGGTCGGACCTTTGAATCTGAGCGTGCCGGGCTGAACGCCACCGACAAGAACCCGGTCTCCAATGGTAAAGCTCAACATTTCATCTACAATGGGAGAAAGAGGGGTCTGCAGGGGGGAGATGGGTGGTGAGTGATTGTCATGTTTGAAATCGTCTGTCTTCTCCTGGAGGTCGAACAGCCTCTCAGATTGGCGGCTAGCTTCACTCGCATCAGAACGGTAACTGAGCTCCTCGGCTATATCCTCCTCAACCACCTCGTCCTGGCTGTCTGGTGTGGCTCTGCTAGACGAGTCCTTTCTTGAAACCTTGATTTCAGTCGGGGAAAGCGAGACGTGAGACTCAAGCTTGGAACTACGATGCTCCTCTCTGGGTGAAGAATCCAATGATGACTCGAAGTCATCGTGATAACCATCTGCCACGGGAGAAGCTTCGTTATCCTTGATGGGAGCCTCTTTGTTTGAAGAGAAGGGACCTTCACGAGCTGAAGAGCTGGAGGCTGGATGTGGGGAGGTTTCGAGGTCCATTTTTGGTGGTCGGGCATCGATAAGATTTAACTTCACAGCTTGCTCTCCTTCAGATATTTCCTCCTGCTTCAGTTCTTTGTCCTGTTCAAGGCTAACACTTTGAGAACGCTGTTCTTCGTCCATGGAGGAGGAAACATGCTTGGACGTAGACAACCTCTCCTGGAAGTCAGGTCCGTCTTCCCTCTCTAGCTTGAGAAAATGCTGAGAGTTTTCGTCCTCAACCCTGGAGCTCATCTCCAGCTCCTCCTGAACATCAGACCTATGATCAGACACAATGCTCTCATCCGCAGACTCAGTTATGTCTTCTTTTGAACGAGGTCTTAGAAGAGCCTTTGTGGATGGACGGCTCCTGTCTTCTGTGCTGCCGGATGCTGCCACAGTCGGAGTGACTGTTTGTGGTTCGTCATTAGACAGGTCTCCGGGCACTGACGTAGATCTGCTGTAGTCTGGCTGAGGAAGGGCATCTATTAACATAAGAGAGAGTCATTTTATTATTGGAACATTTCTGTCACAAAACATTTTGAATAAACCCTGTACATAATGTATATAATCCATGTGATGAATGTAAGCAACTCACCGCGATGCAACGCTGCATGAATCAGTGTCCTTTCAGAGTCAGAGATTTTGCTGGTTTCAGACCTAAGACAGAAAGATTTAGTTTGAAATGTATTTATAGCATCAAACATTCACCAGAGAATCATTTTAAGCTGTTTTTGGTACCTGTTTGGAGGTGATTTAATATAGGACTGCTCTAAAACAGAGCTGGACTCTTTGATCTGGGAGTTTGTGTCGGGTGTTGAGTCTGGCTCCTTGTTCAGCTCTGCTTTAGTTTTCTCGATAAAGTTGTTGTAGTTCTGAAATGAAAACAGGAGAATAAAAGTTAAGATATGCAGCAAACGGACAAATACACAAACACACGCATAAATAAAACACGAAACCATCTCAGTTTGTTTGGATGTTTAGCTTGGACGTCTAAACACACCAGCTACGAGGTGACATGTTTACCTCCAGCTGTTTGAGCAGGCTGGCCTCCTGTGCCTTCAGGCGCTCCTTGTTTCGCTTCTTCTGCTCTTTCTTCAGCTGGTAGGCCATAAACTTGCGTTTTCTGAGTTCTTCCTTCAGGGCCTTGATACGACTCTCTATGTCACTCTGGTCTGAAATGGTTTCTGAAAGCAAATTTCAATGATAAATCACAGCTAGAATGTGAACCCGGTGCCAAAACTCTGATTAGCAAAGATTAATCCAACTTTTAGCTCACACGAACTCAAACCCAGTTCTTTGGGGATTACTGTACATTTTCTTTACTGAGAACGTGTAAAGTTCCTTTTTATGAACACAATGAACAATGAGCATTACACAGATTAAAGGTTTAAGCAGTGGCCTGAAAATGAATTCAACACGTTCGGCTACAATACGAGACAGCAAAACCGTTTTTCGCTTGTGCCATAACTAAGTGCAATGCACAGTGTTTCCTCCTGCTATCACACAGCTAAGCAGGTTAGACATCAGAGAAGTGCTTGCATAATGTATTCCTGGCAGAATCACATTATGCCTGACTCTACAGTGCCAGCAATATAGCTGCATTATGTCCACTCTCTGCTTCAACCCTTCTATCTTCTATTAGAACTATCTGGAACAGTTTTACACTCCAAATATGCTGCATACTCTGTGTGTTGCACATAAATAACTCACCAGTCTGCGTGACCATGGGAGGGTCAGTGGGCTGAGTGCAGGCCTGGTTGGGTGTCCGGGAGGTGGACCGGACCTGCATCTTGGTTCTACTGCTGGCATCTGAAGACGAGGCAGCAGGGCTGTGGCTGCCTTTGAGAGGAGAAGACTGGAAAGACCAGACAGGAGGAGGAGGAGGAGGAGGAAGGATGGCAAAGAGGGAGGAATATTACTTGAGGATACAACATCACAGTCAGGCAAATTGATCAGAGGTATGTTTACATTAATATTTTACATAAACCAACTAATGCCCTTTCCTTGTACTTCACCAAGTACAGAGCGGAGCAACAACAATGATGATGTGCATTCCTGCCTGCAAAGTTTTCTACATGAGATATGAGAGGTTGTTTTGGAGCAGCTACATGTAAACTCAGCGTCTATCAGATGAGCCTAAACGAGGGATGTTAATGATAATTAAATCATCAAATGTTTAGAACAATTTCTGCTTAACCATCTCTGATTTGTCTGTGATTTTCGAGATATTAGTAAAATTTCAGCTTGATATATCAAATGCTTGTTTAAAAAACTGCCTGCTGACTCATGCAGAGAGAATTGTGGGAGTTCAGCTACTAATGGGCCACCATGACAAAGACTAACGGGCGGTCACAGCTCATATAATCAAGATAAATGCACCTATAGCTGAGTGGCTGCTGTTATACGGCTGCTTCTAAGGGGAATGTCATGTGTCTGTCATTAAAAATAGCTAAACCTGCATGTGGTATGGTACTTATTGATTGATTGATTGATTGATTGATAATGCTGCTGAATATCAATTAGGAAAACTGCCACAAATTTGCATCCCTATCCTAAACACCGAAATACAAAAGGAAAAGAGTTACGCATACTTTTCTGCCAGGTGATTGTGACCCAGAAGTGAAGTCCTGGGTGTAATTGGCAGGGCTGCTCTGGACCGAAGCCAAAGGTGTTTCAGGGACTGAAGCAGGCTGAGCCGAGGGGGGACTCCTCTGCTGCTGGGAGCCCAGTCCCTCTGTGCGGATGCTGGAGTCAGGTGTCTCTGAGGAGTAGTCGCCCTCACTCACATACTCTGAAAGTTAAACACATTAGGGTCATTATGTTTGTCTTGACCTTCACAAAGCATGCACCGTGTGACAAATCATATTTTAAACTCGGTTTCTTGTTATTGTTCTTTTGACTTTAAACCTGGCAACAGAACTTCGCGTAGCTTCACCTTTTTCACTGTCAGTTCGGGGCTCTGAGCTTCGGTGGTGACTGTGGTGGGAGCTGATGTCAGAGACCTCCTTTTCCTGACTCTCTGACATCTTGAGATCTTTGTCCCGAGGCGTGTTCTGGTCCCACACAGCCAGGGCCTCTTTCTCCATGCGCCGGACCTCAGCCTCCTCCTGGTCCAGCCGCTGTTTCCACTGCAGCAGCTCTTCGGCATGGTGACGCCTCTGCATCAGCTGCTGCTCTCGCTTGGTCAGGAACCTGCAGAGGTGGACGATGAGAATGAAAGGGAAAAGAACGGAGGGATGAGGAGGAAGTGGCAGAAGATGTAGATGATGGGTGAGGAGACAGATGAAGAAATGGAGATGAGGGTAAAGACGGGAAGAGCATGGGTAGAACAAGTGATGAGAGAAAGAAGAGAAGGAGGACAAAGACATGAGGCGTAAGAAAAAGGTTAAACATGACCGCGCAGGAGCAAGCAGACCCAAATCACCTGGACATCCAGTTATTACTGCACCTCAAACCTCTTAGCCAACACACACACACACACACACACACATAAGCAAACACACATTCCATACATGCCTAGAATTATCATCTATAGAAATGCACGAGTACCCATCAAATTAAAAAAAAGTGATGAAATGTCACTCAGGAGAAAACAGGAGCAGAGAAATAATAGTGAAAATGTCAGATTCATGCATTAAAGACTCAAACCCAGGGGTTGGACGTTGAGCAAAGTCACACACACACACCTCAAACATGTTCAGGGCTACAGGACACACAGCTCTACGAGGGTCCCACTAATATGACCATTTCTATTTTTTATGCAATAAAGATATACGGGTCCTGTTGTGTAATTCTTCAATCCAACTTATACTGGGTCACTTATCCGTCCAAATCTCTGCAGATGCCTGAAATAAAGTGCAGCGAGGTGTAGCTGTTTTGTAATGGTATCTCCCACAGCTATGGGTGCCATTACAGTGCAGTATTATTTAGCCTTGATCTAATTTCGAGGCCTTTCTCTTGACCTAATGTAAACTGATGACAGCCCAGATGCTCAAGAACGAGACTGTGGGGGTTTTTAGTACCTTCCCAAACTCTATTACGGCCAATGATCATCTGTACTTATTATCCCATCCTAAGCAACAGTTACATAATAAAGGGTCTAGTTGAGATTTACTGGGCTCATTAAAGAGACAGACCACTCTACGTCTGCTCTATTTTCTGCAAAAATCCTTTACGCTTGTGTCGCACTGTGGTTTCGTCTCGAAGCATTGCACAAACGTAAAAGGGCTGCAGTTGACCGGCCAGCAGGCAGAATGTACAGAACAAGTTGCACTGCATGTTTTTTATAATTCATTCCAAGAGGCAAGACATACAGAGGGAAAGAGTTGCAAATTAAACACCACTGAAATCAGTGAAATCCCAGCTTTGAGTCTGAGATTCCCATCCAACAAGGAAAGCTGCTAATAAATAAGCACAACCTTTGACTTTCACAGGAGATTTTTATTTGTAAATCAAATTTTCTCTCATTTCCGTTGTTTTCAATTCAACCAGTGTGCTGTATTACCTTCACTCTTTTTCGCACATATATTAAAAACTCCATTCAACGTGAAGCTAAAGTCTAAAGGTTAGCTTATTTCAGTAAAGCAGCTTTCCTTGGGCACTTTTCAGTCTTTCATTTAAGCTCCTCCCCCACACAAGCCCCCATCCTGGAAGTTAAAAACCTCTTAAGATCCCACAGAAAAACCTCAAACAAACCAGCACATCCAATCAATCATCATCCATCATCCCACCCTAAACAAGGTCCCAGTGCCAGTGGATGAACACAAGCATGTTCCATGGGGTGGAGGGGGGTGGAGGTGAGGCAGGGCAGGGCTAGGTGGAGAGGTAGAGAGCACTGTACAGTACCTGACCAACTGGTTGTAGATAAAGAGCTGGAATTTAGGGTGGAGGTTGGGAAGACAGACACTGAGGGAGGCCCAGTGGTGGGCCGTGAACACAGAGAGGAAGTAGTGGACAGGAGAACAGTGTCTACAACACACAAGCACGCGACAGACAAAGTCAAAAGAGCCACACAAACATGGGCATGGACATGTACAACACACACACATTCACACACACACACATAATGTAAAAAACACAAGAGACGCAGAGGGAAAAGACAAGTAGAGAGAAAGGAGAGAGTGATATGAGAAAACGTGGTTTTATTGCACCCAGCGTGTCAGACTGTCAGGCTTCTGTTAGGAGACGGTGACTTTTAAAGGACTTTGTGGTGAGACAAGCTTCCTAATGAGCATTTAGCTTAGCGTGTGAGCATCAGACTCGTTTTGGGAGTTGATTCAGGTATAATCAAACCTGCTTTTAGATGGAGTCAAATGACAGATCTCTGAGCCTGATTGACAAACAAATTAGTGTGAGGAAACACCCTGAGATGAAGCGATTACAGCTTTGTTACTGGGCTACTTTTAGCTGAAGACAAAGGTGCAAATGCTCAGCAATAATTACCAGGACAGTAGTTGCAGAGAATATAATGGAGACACAGGATAATTTAGCAAAAACATTAAGGATCATGACAAGCAAGCTAATGATCATGAATGCATGATCAGACACAAATAAGTTCTGCTTTTAGTCACATGCTCTTATTTGTATTATTATGCAGACATAATCTAATTGTAGTGATTCTGAAACTCATAATAACATTAATGGGAACACACTGCATTAAACTGCACTGACAGTTGTGTTGTTAGTATAAATTTAGACAAATCTCGCCCTGAAAATGGCTAAAATGCCACCATGGAAGATTGCCAAAGCCAAATTATAAGTCCTAAACCCCCAGAACAATTAACACACTTGTTTGAGCTGCCCGATCATGAGCGGCTCTGCGATCACCTGACCAAAGCTGCTGGTGAAGTCTAAAACCTTAGAGGACCTACAGGAGCTCCAAGCCCACAGGCAACACAAAAGAAAGTGGGTATAATAATAAAAAGGATGAAATGCACAACCTATGTTTGTAAGGAAAGGTTGCAGCACTGAGCTCACACGGTGTTACAGCTGCGTATTAACGTCGTGGGATTGTCTCTCTTCCAGACGCGTAAGGCTGCATTAGCACTGGTACAGACAAATTAAGTTAACGGGGTGTTGTTGCAGAGTGTGTGGATGCTCGTCTAGTCTAGAGGGAGGACAACACGGAGCATGCTTATCTTCACATCCACAGCGCTTTAAACAGCAAGAGAAAGATGGCATGCATTGACTTTACCGTTAGCTTCAATTAGGCTCATCGCTAGTTAAGGTAAAGACTCTATGAAAGCAGAATTTGGACTCTTCTGTCTTGTCAGTATGACTTCTGGTAATTTGCTGGGAAATTTGTCAATAAGCTGAGAGAGCCTAGTTAATATAAGAAAATGAAATCAAGGTCTTTACTTTTCATCCATGTGCGAGCGCATCTTCTTGAGCTTCTGCATGATGCTGCTGGTCTCACTTCCAGAGATGGAGAGCGAGGGCGAGGGGCTGCGGACGTCATCGGGATGCCTCATGCTGGGGGAGGCTGGTTCGGACTCTGGGAGCTCCGACACTGGAGTCTCCTGGAGGACGGACAGTGGGCACACACAGAGAGAAAATTAATTAAGAACTAAATTAAACCAAACAAAAAAGATGAACATAGCAGCATGTTCAGGTCAGTGTATGCATTACTACTTTATTCATTTTATACTCTGCTGGATTGAAACCTCTTAAATCTATTTGTTCTCCTATATGAGCTCTGAAGTTACGGCACTACTTACAGGTGGAGCTTCACCCCCAGCACACTTGAGCCGCTCCTTCAGCCTGAGTGTTGAGTTTCTCATCCGCTCAATCTCCTCCTGCTGTTTCAGCAACAACTGCCTTTCCTTTCTTGCTGCTTTGTTGGCCTCCTGAAGACGCTTGATCTCAGCCTGAGGAATAGGAGTACATTTGGAGAAAACACTGGTTAGTTAGAAATCAGTATTACTACAGTACAGCTCGTAGCTCAACTGTGACTTAATGCCATCACCTGCTCCTGCTGTAGCTTCATCAGAAGGCCCCGCTGCTTCTTCCTGATTGGTGGCATTTTGTCATCCTCTCCCTTGTCTCTCAGCCTCTTCTTCTGGTGCTCCAACCAGGCCAGCTCCGTTCTGGTCTTCTCTTTGAGAGCTTTCTGGCGAAGATGCAGCAGCGAGCTCTGGTGCTGCAGTCTTACCTCCTCATCCTTCATGTACTGACGCACCATGTCCATAGTGAACTGGGAGAAGCTCTCCTGCCCGCCAGAAAAGGTTATGTTCACATCCTGGAAACGCAGGAGCACACAGGTGGAAAGGTTAAGGAAGGAAACAGTCACGGCAAGAAATGAGTTAAAGGTGGACAGTGAAATAATTGGTTAACAGAGTATAAAAAGGGACACAAAGCACATGCTAAATAAAAAACATCTATGCAAAATTTAAGTATTAAACAAAAACAAATCATACTATCAGTGGTCACATCCAGCTGCAAAAGCAACCACTGATCCATAAGTGTTGCAGTTGGTCAGTGTTTGGATAACTGCCTCACCTTTAAAGAGTTGTGCAACCCCGATGCTGAAACCAATGTTGTGTTGTGATTGGCTCCGTCATCCTCCGACTCCTCGTGGTGGCGAGACTTCTTCTCCAGAGTTCCGCGGCGATGCGCCTCGGACGGCAGAAGAGAGCGGAAGGAGCGCTCTTCAATCTCGTCCTCTGTCATGGACTCATCGAACTTGAGCGAGTACTCTGTGGCCACCGACATACTGTCTGCTGGAGGGTCAGAGACAAGATGAGCTCAGTCTATACTGTAATGATGGCAATAATAATAATAGTCTTTATTTAGAGTGCACTTCTCAAAATCCAAGCTACAAAGTGATGAAAGGTAGGCGAGAGTCCACGCAAAACCCTAAAAGTAATCAGTAAAATCTTAAAATCTATCCTAAAACATACCAGGAGCCGGTTGTGCTTCTTGGTTCTGGTTTAAACTTGTACACTCACTATTTTGTCAACTGGTCAGGGCCACATGTGCAGCACTGTGGTTCTAAACTGTTTTGTTTGTGGTCTGATTTAATGACAGCAGTATAGCTTTTAATTTGTGTGCTGATGCTTATGTAGAAATAGTCACCAACTGTTGAATTAAAACACATGTGAACTTTTGAACTCAGAGCTGAGCCGTCCAGTACCTTTCTCATCCACCATAGAGGGGATACTGTCACTGCAGAGGGTGTCGTTCGCAGCTGTTGGAACTTCCTCCTCTACGGAGCTGCTGGCTGCCTCTGGCCTTTCCTCGACCCCTCCGGTTCTCCGTTTCCCTTCTACTACCTCTTTTTTCGTCCGTTCTCTGGTGTCTGAGGAGACATGTGACGGGCTGTGGTGGCTGCTGGAGGCAGACCCGCTGAGGAAAGAGGAAACAGATTTAGTGTTTTCTTTGCTTTCTCTTCCCCCAAATCAAATGGAAAATAGTGAAAGCACACATCGGGCTTGGCTGGTACCTGATGTTGGGTCTTTTGAAGGACAGGGAGTCAGAGTGACTGAGGCTGTTCAGGGAAGACAGGGGCTCCTCGGATCTGGTCCTTCTGCTTGACACCTCACTCAGAAAGCTGTAAAAGAGCAAGTAAACAAGACTGAAACCAGCGTCTCGCCACTTGGCAGCCATCTTTGTAATTCCCCGGTCAGTCACTTTGGGTTAATAAGTCCAGATCCTTGGGGAGAGAGGCATACCTGCAATATCAACTATCACAGATAAGAAATGCTGTAAAGCTTTGGTGACCTTGTCCCAAACCAGTGTTAAACCATCTGAACCCTCAGTAGTTTCTGGGCATGTTTGGCTCCGGTCACATTTTTTTATCACTGTCGGCTCATTTTTCACTGCAACACAAAGTCCTGAACCTCAACGGAAACAGAACAACCACAGCTGGAAGTAGAGAGAACTCCAAAATGTCTTCTGTGCAGTAGGACGGTTATGATGCCACACATCATAGAAAAAGATAAAACTAACAAAGAATTTCTTTGCATAGTTATTTCACAAAAAAAAAAAAAAAAAAAAGCTGAAATCAACAGGTCCAACACTTGGTGCCCAAAGTTGTTAAACAATAGATATTTTACTACTTAGACTTTTATCTTATTTCCTTAGTTTGCATCTGTCTGCTCTGTGTAAACACAGACTGCAGCTAAATCAAAAATCCCTGATTTATTTCCATGTGACTGTTATTTGTAGCTGAGTCACTGATGGATTCACAGTTGTGCTGAGAAGTGCAGAATTTATTTTTTAAAAACAAAATTTTGAAGAATTTCATCTATTTTACTGCCTTATTTTTCACAACATTTGAAATGAGCCGTGCAGAACAAAGTGATTTTGATAAAACATCTCGATTTTAACTCGACTTGATTAAGTTTTCCGCAAACTTCATTACACGGATGAGTGGTTCAAGGACTGTTGGAAATTGAAATTCTGCTGATTCTTTCTTGTTTTTACAGTTTCTGGCTCTGATGAATGGTGTGATTTTGGCAAAAGATAACAAGCCTTTCAAACCTGCTGGCGGGTTTTTGGAGTTCAGAGGATTAAACAGCCTTTTATTTTTTCCTCCACACGCTATATTTCTACTCTGCACGTGCACACCTCCATGACACGGGGTTTGATGTTTGATATGTCAGAGTTTGGCTTTTATACAGCAGATGCTTTTTGGTGGGAGGGCGTGACGAGTGTCATACAACCATCATCTCTGGAATCATGGATTTCTCTAAAGGATTCAGGATTCTTTTAAAGCGGTGAGACTCTCCCTTATAACATCTCTGCTTAAACATTCAAAACAAATACTCATTGCAGCCCTCAGTGGTAAATGTGTACAAAGGTGTGACGAAGGGGCAGAATGTTTCTATGTAAATGGTGATGTATTATTAGGGATGTGATTTATTCCCTTCTGAATCTAAACCATAATAAATTAAAGCATGCGAGCTGTGCCGCTAGCGGATCGTGACACTAATTAAAGTGTTTTTAGAGTACCTGTCAGAGTCGGCTTTGTCGTGTCGCTGCTTCGTATAGGAGCTCTCTTGTTCTTCTCGCTGGTCGAACATTGAGGAATCAGTGGCAACAGGAGGGACAATCACGGTTCCTGCTATCTGCGACCGCGTCAGTTCTGCCATCTGACAGATGAGAACACGATACACAAGATCAAATGTTTGATTTGGTGAATCTTAACACTGGACATCGTGCTTTCCTCCCATCCCCTCATTATTATTTCTTTCCTGTAACTCAACGATCAATCAGCTTTTGTTGTAAAATTATGACACAGGCTGTTTTCCAGGCAGAGAGGAAGGAAGTGATTGCTAACCTCCTTGATGTGTCGAGCAGCATCGGCTGTGTACCGCGCTGCCTCAGCCTGTTGACTCATCATCTTGGTAGTAGATTCCTGGAGGCCTTCCAAAGTCTCTTTTTGAGTTGCCGCCAAGCTTTCCTGCAGCTCCAAATGAGCCTGGACAAAACCACACATAGACATTACACACAGAGAAACACAAGCTCTCGGGGGTTGGAATTCAAAAGGTGAAGATGCAAACATTGAATCCTTCATCTGCTGCTGCTTGTAAACCAGCTGATTAATAATGTCTAATGGAGGCATTACCCTGGCCACTCTCTGTCTGTTTTCCTCCATCTGCAGCTCCGCCTCCAGAGCTTCTCTTTCGGTCTTGATCTTCAACTCGTACAGGTCGCGCTCGTGCTGCTGCTGCTTCGCCTGCAGGGTCAGAGTTCACACAGCGGGTCAATAAAGTGCATCGATGCAGACAGAATCGTTACAGTGAGGCAGACGAGACTGAAACTTAGGGAGCCAAGAGAACAGGTACAGGTATTTATCATGTAATTGTTTGAAAGCAATCGCATTTAAATTATCTTTGAATATTAGTGAATTACAATCACATTTGTTATATAAAATGCTAAAACTGTGAGCAGCTTGTTTTGTACATTATCCAATATTAAACATAAGCTTAGAGTGCGTGCTGTTCCGCAAATGGTAAAATATTAAGCCATTTACAGAATGCCAAATCATCTCTCATCAGTCAGTAAGAGGATTAAGGAAGCTGGGTGTGCTTCAGCTGTAATCGCTTCACACTAATACAACTTCTTATATGTAAACACTGTCAGCAGAGCTAAAGCTAAAGACGCAGCAGAGCTCTCCGTCATCACATCGATGTTATTACTGTCAGCAAGCAAGTCTTCTCCTTTACCTTGAGCATCTGGGCCAATGTTGCGCTCTCCTGCTTTGCCATGGACACGCCCATCAGCCGCTCCACGTCCCCGAGCTGCCTCATCGACTCCTCAATGGACTCCAGGTAATGGAGCTCTGCTGCCATACGCTGCTGCAGGACAGCAGGTGAATACTGGAGCTCACCTGCTGGAAAGGAAAGGCGGGAAATTAGTAAAAAGGAATATTGACCAAGTGTGGTGGGACAAACCTTGTGAATAAGTGTAAGAGGTATTTATCTACCTGTGTGCCGGGCCTCTGCTCTGCCACCGTGAGCTGAGGAGCTTGTGTTTGGGCCACTTCTCAAAGGTTCGCTATGAGAGTCTGGTCCTGGAGGAGAAGCAGGGTCTGGAGCGCCAGAAGGAGAAGCCAACCTGGGCCTGCAAAACAAGACAATGTTATGTGATTCTAAGTTTAAAATGACAAGATCTTCTCTGCAGTGGGTGTGTCTGTCACTATCAGGTTGATGAGTTTCAGTGTGTCAGATTAGGGGTAAAGTGAATTCTTATTGAAATGTTTTAAGCATAATTTAGCACTGCCAACAAAATGGAAATGTAAAAAGCAGATCCCCGAGGTTTCACAAACTGTAGCTGGTTTCTGATGTCATATACACTACTATACTATTTTTTTTAAGCGCAGGATTGGCTGGCTGTTTTGAAAAGAGGAGCAGATTGGCGCCATGATAAAGAAGGACAAGACCCTGATCCTGCAAACCTTATAAATAACTGAGGCAGCTGCTGTGAGAGGCCCACAGTATGAATGGCCACACTGTGCTGCTCAGAGATGACCAGAGGCCAAGGACGGCGCCTACAGAGATCACAATACACATTTTTTTACCCCCAATCATAACAACATACCTCAATTAAATACAAGAAAAAGCTGTTTTACACTGCAACATCAATCCCAAAACAACTGTAATATGCACAGGGGCTGATATAAATGCAATGTGCAAAAAGCAAACAACAGGTAGTAACACATTAAAAAATGATGATATAATTGAGTTTCTGTCCCACCACCAAAGCAAAACAGCTTCGATTGTAAACGGCAGTAAGCGGTATACAGTCCTGTCAGAATGTCTTGCCTTTATTGTGCAAGACACACAGGCTCCACAGAATCCCAAGAATCTGCCACCTGGGCTTCACAGTACCATTAGGGGGCTCAAATGTCACTACTTCGCAGTGAGATTAAAAGGAAAGGGGAAAAAAAAAATCTCTCTCCTTTCCTTTGGCAGCAGGCCCAAGCTGTGGTGAAGCAGACTGACCCGACCAGCAACCCTGCGGGCCCCCTAAACAAAATGACCAGTGTTTTCTGTCTTGGTTGAACTGCAGCTTGCTCCCGTTGCTGGGCACTACACAGCTGCTTAAACCCTCAGGCCTTCAACAGAACAACAAGCCACAACACTGTTTGGACTGGCAGCCTCGACCAGGGCCCCTCTAAGTGTACTTTAGTAATTGGTCATGCCCAGATAAATTTACTTTTAGGTAATGAATAACAGTATATACCAAGTGGAGGTTTCTGAGTGGTCGAAGCAGCAACAACCGAGATGATCCGGTGCTTAAAATAACCGACTCATTCCTGAGTTCATGTAGAGATTCACATAGAACATCTGAATGCATACGACTTCTATTAAGTGGAAACCAAAGTTGGAATTTATGGAAAAATTATTGTGATGAACGAAAAGGCACCCAGAAATGAAGAAAAACAATCATGCTGTGGAAAGAAGCACCTATCGATAACCTCCTATGTCCAGGAACACACATGTCATTGTAAGCCAACAGCACTGCAACACCAAAGCAGCGCTGCACAGAAGGTTATTGAAAACCAGGAAGGAAGGAAATACCAGGGACAACTGGATGTGAGGGTAACCTAAACTTGTGGGAACAGTGTTCACCATTCATCCACCTCTCTCACTGTTCTGGACCTACGATTCAATCAGATACCTAAGCGGCGATCATAGCAAAAAAACAAAAGAAAAACGTGCAGGTGACAAACTTAATCATTAAAGCTCAGGATCATTACCTTTGGTGAGAATGCCCTGATGTTTCCCCTAACGTGTCATTAGAGTGGACACTCCTGGCCTGGCTGTGGGCAGAGCTTCTGTCTGAGCCTTTCTTTCTGGAATCAGACGATAGCGCTTCTGACGGCGGCGAGCAGGAGCTCCTCTGCTCCTCTACGAGCGTGGCGTCGCTCTGGTCCGACGCGGCTCCTGCACAGGAACGGCATCGTTACATTACGCAGCATTTGACCTCAAAGGCAGTTTAACTGAAACAAATTAATCCATAAACGTTTCTCGCAATAAAACAGGTTCACAATTCAGAGTCATTCCAGAAAATAATTGAAAAATAGTCACACTCACCTCTTTTTCTGGCAGAGTGCCTGGAGTGGGGTGAGGAGCCAGATGTTGAGCCAGAGGAAAGATGCGGGGAGTGATTGGACGAGTGGAAAGATGAATGGTGGGAATAAAGGCCTCCTGTGCTTTTCTCATAAGGAGACCTCCTCATCAGCTCTTCAAAGTGACTGTTGGTGCTGACAGAGAGGAGACACACCAATGAGTGGGATCAAATCTGGGGTTTTCTAATTTACCGTAACAAAAGAAACACTTCAGAACAACCAACGTCAGACATAAAGCCCCTCCTCCCAACATACTCAGTAGTAATAATAATTTAAAATCAACAATATGTCCTTAATGTTAGGATTCTATTAATAAAGTCCAGCAATATTGTGGACAAATGGTTCAGAGATTTTGACTGATGAATTGATCAAATAAGTTTAAAATCAGTTTCAGGGTCTAAAACACGGCACGAAACAACCCAACACAAATGATATGTGTAGGATTTACTTCATTCTAAAAAGCCTGGAAAAGAAAAACCTTTCCATCTACAGCTCTTCCTATTTGTGTGACATGAATGCCACCCAGTGGCCGCTTTAGACCTGTGGTGTTGTTGTCATTTTTTTTTACCTGGGTGAACTGGAGCCTCTCTTCATCGGGCCGGTGGCTTTGCTGCTATGTGACGACACAAAGTCATCTTCATAGACGGCTGCGTCTCCAGGGCCGTGTCCAGAGTGCAAAGAATGAGCAGAGGGAGAATTGGTCTCTGAATTTCTCCCACTCACTAGAGGACACAAAACAGAGGAGACATTATCCACACTGACCTTCAGTACGCTGCATGTTGAGACATGACCACCACAGCTTTAATATTCTGTGTAGCTGCTATAGTTGTATATTTCTTAGAGGTTAACCACAGATACAAACTAACAAGAACAGTGTCACTATTTCCTTTCTTTTGGTTGTGCTGACCTCCAAAAATCCATGTTAACAAAAGAAAAGTAAAAATCTCTTTACTGAAGCTCAAGCAGTTTCTGTGTGTTCTTTTGTTCTGGTTGTATTTTTACTCACTGTGAGTTCATGTTTATGCAAAATAAAGCATTTTTATAGAAACAGCACATCCATGTCTACAAGAAGAGAAAACTCAACAACATCTTCTGTACATTATGACACAGAGAACATGGGTGACTCTACATACTGTAGACAATTTACTGCCTATATTATGAATTTGCTTCCATACTCCTGTCTGCCTTTTTTAAACACAGCCTGTAGTTTAGCTGCAAAGTCAAACAATGTTTGACATGTAACTGTGGGCTACTGCTGAATCACTAAATGCTTCATGACTGTGCTGAAGAGTGCAGATTTTGTGATTTTTACAGAATTTGGTTACTACAAAGTGTTGATTAAAGGCAAAATTTCAAAATACAAAAGTAGAGTAAAATTATATTGATGAAATATTATGACTTCAAACTTAATAGGTTTTCTGATGAAATGGCACGTCATGGATGAGTCGCTCAAAGACCGTCAGAAAGTTCAAAATTGTGCAATCCCTGCTGTTTTTATTTGTGTAACTTTGGTGATTTGTTTAACGAAAACGACCCTTAAAACAGTCGATCTAGGTGGGTTTGGGGTTATGAGGGTTAGCGGTTCATAAACCCACATTAAAACATTTTTGTTGCATCAATGATGACCCATATGTAACATGGAAAAGTAACATTCTGATACTTGAACTTACCTTTAACTTGGCCGTGAAGGTTTTTTAGGAAAATGTTGATGACACTTAGGGGGCTTCCTTTGTTCAGCTCTTCAAACGGGGCTCTGCTGCTGTCGTGCTGTGGTGGACTGAGGACGGGACACATCGCTGCCTCCCTCTGGAAGTCAAACAGCCGCTGATAGTCCTTTCGTTGCCGTACAGAGTAGTCCGCTGCCTCCAGACGATCTGCTGATTTAGGTACACGAGAGCTGGAGGGACGAGGAGGGCTGACCTCGTCCTCAGAAAAACTCCCTTCACTCAGCAGAGGACCCTCACTGAGGGAACTAGCGCTTGAATCATGGAGATCAGTCCGATGCTCCTCAGACTGTTTCTTTTGTGCTGCTTTATCCAGTCTCTCTTCCTTCTCCAAGCCATTGACTAGCCTCCTCCTTTCCTGTGTGTAGCTGTTAAGAATGGGTCCTACTGCATCAGCAGAAGCTGTATGTGGACTGTTGAAACCCGTGTGTGCACCGTTCTTTTCCTTCTGCTCCTTGAAGGCATGCAGGCTGCTCACACCAGGAAGAGCTGTGCCGTTGTACGAACTATGACCTGTGTTATTCAAAATCCTCTGGATCTTCATAGTCATGTCACTGTTTTCTGCGGCTCTTTCTGCCCAGCATCCATCAGCACGAGTAGAGGGCTTAGAAGTCAAAATAGGATCTATGTCCATAGAAGTTGCTGCACCATAGTTGATGCCCTCCCCAGCCAGTTTCCGTGCTTCACTCTCTATACGTTTGGAGAGGGATGTAGCGGTGGCCTTCAGGGCTTCAATGCGGGACATTTTGGAGCGCGACCTGCTGGATGGGGCTGTGGCCGGTCGCAGGGTGTGCTGGAGGTCGCCAACAGCCACTGCTGTCTCCAGCCTTAAAAGCTGAGAGAAGAGATTCTCACCAGCGGCCGCTCGTGCGCTGCTGCTGGCAGCAGCTGTAGGTCGAACAGCTGGAGACAGTCGGTCTGGCTGGAGCAACGAGGCGACCCCAACATCCAGATCATTCCTGGAAGAGTTAGTGAAAGAAAGAACGGTTGACTTAAAACAAGATCTAAAGAGAGGTGCAAACAGTTCCCTTTGAAACTATGACAAAAAAAAAAAAACTATATGTAAATGTATTCATTGTAATTGCTACAGAGGTAAGTAAACACAAGAACTTCCATTCTGAATGCCCACAGTGTTCACAGATAAGATATTTACAGCCTTTTTGGATATTCAGTGTACTGTCAAATGAATGTCAAACACATAACTGTATTGCAGTACGTCTCTTGCAGCTATAGTTCTAACTAAATGTATTCATAAGCCTGATATCGAACTGGTTATGGAACAAAACACACCAATTCTCTCTACTTTAGCAAAAATGCTGCAGTATGAAGCACCTCAGCAGACACATGGTTACACCACATGCTACAGAGGATAGTAATGGTTAATGTCTGCAAAAATGTAACTGATTAAAACATAGGAACCGATAAGGCAGAACACAAAGAACACACATCAGAAAATGTTGTGTACATCAGCTGTGCTACCTGGCTGCACCACCAGATGGAGACTCTAACTGTTAAAGAGACAGAAGACAGCAGCCACCTGAGGAGGTGGATGCTCAGACTTTGGGGAGTTCCCTGTTGGCAACCTAAAAGCATTGTGAATGTTTAACTAGCAACAGGCCACCATGACAAAGTTTACTGTTTAATGGCTGCTGATGAGAACTCACACATTTCTAATGTGCCAAAGCCAATGAGGACTGTGGCTCGATAACAAATTGGCCAATGAACCAAGCCGCTTCAGAAGCGACTGTTGTGTGTCCACAGTTGGATGTAGCTCTATCAGCATGACGACATCTGCTCACTGTACTTCATCTGTGTTAATGATTAACAGGTGGATTAATAAGGCTGTGATCAGATAGGAAAACTGTCAAATTTGCATCCCCACATGCCACATGATGTTCCTGGTTTGTGTCTTTACTTAAACTTTCACCTTGTTTCCTGTCTTCACTTCGCTGTCCAATAAAGGCAAACATAAGCTTAACAAGAACAAAGCATTCACAGCAACTAGTTGGAAAAGTATAAATCACAATAATCACAACTCCATTTACAAAGAGAAGGATGATCATGTGTTGCATAGCTAAACTATTATACTCGTCTTTACTTCCAGTCGATTATCTCTTATGGTCTGTCGTGCAATGAAAGTAGTGGCAGCGGCAGTAAAAGTGTCTATTTTTGTTTGTTTTTGTACTAAAATGTTGAGCAAAAAAGGCTTCTGGGGCACTCACAAGGGAAGCCCGTAAAAAGCCAAGCATCTGAGAACAAGCAGTCTGTTTGTTCCAGTCAGGTGATTTCCTAGTTTTCACCCAAACATAATTTTAAGACATTTGAAGAATATGCAGGATGTCCTTTAATGCTCGTTTGTGTTGATGGAACTTGAGCGTAGGGAACTCGATACTCGGGAGAATGAGGGAAGTGAACACAGGTAGGTGTTTATGTGTGTACCTGGATAATGGAGGAGGCGGCTGATCATTCAAAGACCTGTCACTGCTCGAGGGGCTCTGCGGTGCCTCTAGTCTTTTGTTCTCTTTGTCCGACTCCCCTGAGGGCTGGTACATCGGTCTCTGTAGAAGAACACAGTGAAAAGATTTTAAAAAAAATACAAAACTGATTGACATGAGACGTGACACTGTTTACACGGCTGTTCAAGTAAAGGTCTGAATAAACAACATCGCTTTCTTACATGAGTGATAAGAAGGGTTGTAACGGTACGCAAATATTTGGTAGGTAGGCCCTGGTTGGTACGTTTTTGGTGCAGCAAAACCAAGACATACAGAACATTAAACTGCTTCTTTTACTTAATTAAAAACCGGATGACTCAAGAGATTTTGGCTGTGCTGCAACTGGCTGCAGGCTACTACAAAAAAGTGAAATTTACTTTTAAATGAATAAAAATTCATAAAACAGATATTCATTAAGGTTCAGCTGCTTCTCTCTGACAACACATACATTGGATAAGCTGTGGACAGATGTAGCTTTGTGAGTTCTGCACACAGAAAGAAGTTTTGCATGTTCAGTGGCTGCATTTGCTTGGATCACAACGTGTGCCGCAGTGAAAGGCTGGTATTAAAAATGTTCAGGACAATTATATGAACTGTTGCACCCCTCGTGATATGGCCATTTAATAATTTAATACTGCAACACTGTTCACATTACCATTTGTATAGAAGGAGCAGGACGTTGCGTCGTGTGCGTGGCCTCCTCGCCCAGCTGGGCCTCCTCCAGCAGCAGCTTGTTGAAGGTCTCCTGTAGTCGCTTTTGCACGGGGGCCACGGGGGCCTCGCTGGGAAGAGCCACAGTTTTAGCAGCTTCTCTCTGCTTTCTGTAAAGCTCCTGCAGTCTCTGGTTTCTCCTCTCCGTCTCCTCCCGCATTGCCCTCTTCTCCTCCGCCTGACGCCTCTTCCTCTCCTCCTGTTGTCGGGCGATGTACTGGCGAACGGTGTCTGCGTCGTAGTGTCTCTTCTTGCGCCCTGCTTCAGCCGTGCTGGAGGTTTCTGGCCGGTGCGTCGTCGGGCTGGCGCTGCGGCAGCCTCTTGAGGAGCTATTCGTTGGCGCATTAGTTCCCCAAAAAGAGACCGGAGTCCTTGTTCGTGACCCTGAGCCCCCTCTCCCTCTCCTGCCACCGCTGCCACCGCGGGACCTTTTCCGGGCCCTCTCCTCCTCCTTCTCGGCCGCTGTGCACTCCAGCTGGAGGTCATCGAGAATCCCCTGGATGTCCGCCGACAGCAGGTCCGTGCTAACTCCCACCGGGGTCTTCTCCTGAGCTGCAGACGAGGGGACGGGCGTGGCTGCGGGGCGGCTTCTGGGTTGCCCCTGAAATCCACTCCGAGGCCTTTCTGTGCTGTTGGGCCGAGACCGACTGTGTGACTCTGAACGTGGGTCTGAGCGGTGATGGGAAGCTGGTGGATAAACAAGAAGAACAAGAGGTTACAGGTGAGAACTGGTAATCAGCTTCACAACAGAAACATAAACACAGAGCAGAACACTTTTAGAGGTGATTCCTATTTAATTAAACAGGTTTGTGACCATTCTTTATGCTTCTAACTATAAAACTGCTTTACTGTAAACCTGTGATCAACATCTGTCATAAATAGTTCTGTTACAGCTTGTGAAACACCGGATGTTCCAACAAGTGACTGCAGTGGATTAAAAAAAAACAAACTCCGAAGCTAAAGCATCAGACCCAAATGGAGCACACATAAGAAATTAGGCTTTGGGGGAGGTTTGCGATGGCGACTCTAATCTGGGCCAAACGGAAGATTCCCATGTAGCATCTAATCCAGTAGCGTTTTTGGAGCATGTCTGCGGTGAGCCTTGGTGTTGTCAAAAATACTGACTTTCAATACATGATGCAGAATATTTCATGCAGTTTTAATACTCATTCTGCACAGTATCAATACATCAGTACCAGCTGCACTTTTCCTATCCGACAACGAGTTTACAGACTCTGCATCTCCACACACAATCCTCATTTATTCATAGTCTTATACTTTGTTTAAAGACGGATCGTTACTTGAAAATGCATAAGATCGCACCGCTTTTCTTTTTGCTTGCACATCTGAACGAGGACAACATCCCTAAAAGTCTTCATTCATGCAAAAATGTACTGTTGTCATGTTACAGCCTTTTTAGATGTTATTTTTTTACTTTTGATAAAAAATCTTGACATTTTTGACTTCACCGTTGTGGCAATTTTTTGCTGTGGTGTCAAAAATGTTCTTGAATACTTGTATTTTTCTACAAAAGTTAAAATTGTGACAACAGTAGTGTATTTCCCCGCCCTGGTCTGCCGTTCCCCGCGCTGCATGCTCCATGCATCGGGCCAGCCTCTGAAAACCAGGCCATGTCTTATTGTGCGTCCAACCAGAAAAGCCAGTCAATCTCTATTCCTTCCGGTCAGTGGTAGCCAGTACAGACACAGCCAAAAAAAAGACAGGGGGAGGTATAGACAGTGTGAGCGCCAGGGAGTAGCGATGAACTATTTATTTATTGATGTTTCTTTGGCTGGCTCTGTTGAAATGCGTGCGAAAGCCCAACAACAAGCCAGTGTTGATTCAGCTCACAACATCTTCTAATTACATCGATAAGTTTCAAAACAAGTAAAAGCAAAATTTAGTTTTACGAAGATGTTAAAGGTTGATGGCAAAAGAAAAAATGGATTAACGCAAGATGAGGACATAAAATGCTCCACAAAAGGAGCAGGATGAAGAACAAAAATCAAGACAACAAACCTAATTTACACTTCAGTGATAAAGTCTGATCCTATATGTCACTGAACAGAAACCATTTTTGACGTCAAGCTGGCAAATTCTGAGTGGCTCCTCAAAGTCTTGTAAGCTAAACACCCTCCCTGTCTATATAATTTTTCACCTCTTTATACACTTTTAATGACAGTGGATGGGTTTTAATGGCATGTACAGAGGGGTAAGAGTTTATGTTCCTGAGCCCCACCTGTTCGGCTCGCTCTGTCAGCTGGGTAGGGACTGTCCTCCTCCCGGGGCAGCTTCGGACCAGAACCCAGGACCATCTTCACGAGCTTCTGTCCTTCCCGCCACGATGCTGGGCTAATTACTGCAAAGAAACGAGGTTTACAAATGAGAGGCTGCCACTGAAAAGCACCACAATTCAGTACGTTATGCATGACTTCACGGAATAAGAGTGCTACTATCTATGTAAACATGCCACCACAAAAATAGGCTCATTTACATACATAAATACAAATACAGCGGAGACAATGGAAGGCATAGAGCAGTGTGAGTTCTCAGGTAAGATGCACAGCTTTAGCAGGGTTGAAAAGGTCACTTAACCCAAAACGAGGACACGCCAGCTCCGACGAGGTCTATTTTTAAAATTACTTAAGTGCATTAGAGCTGAGGCACCAAGAACATTTTAACTAAGTGTCGGGTATATTGCCAATTTTTGCAGTTTACCCAAATCCCCCAAGAGAATCTATTCCTCCTTTCCTTTATTAACTATCAGCAGACAGTCATGACATATTTCAGACAGTGTTTCTGCTCTTTCTTCATTACAGTGACTCAACAGCAGCGTCGCTTTATCTGGAACAATCTCTAGAGTACTTTTCACAACCACTGCACACACTAGTGACGAGCAGTTCCCGGTAACGGAGCCGTACGTACATCGAATAGCCAAGCAGCTGTTTGTCCTGGGTGGACGAGCCAACTGAACCTGGCCACGGATTTCAGGCGGTTATTTATAGCGCTGTGCCAACGTGAGACAGAGACCAGAGCCAGACTCCAGAGACAACACTTCCAACTTCTGTGTTTCTTCCAACGCAGGAGTTGGAAGAAACACAAGAGCGTCTGAGAGCTCGAGTACAGGAGGGAGATCTTTTACAGTCAGCTGTCTCGGTGTCCACAGTCAAGCTTTTCCGTATCATTTTGTGGCATTGAAACAGGAGGCACAGGTTTTCAGCTACAATCTGAGTTGTTGTGTGCCCTGACTATTAGGATGCTACATTGATTGTTGACAAATGCATTTGCTTGTGCAATAAATAATCTTAATTTCTACAGGATCCCAACAGGGACATAAGACTCTACAGTAAAAGTGACAAATAATAAAGAGCAATAGATCATCAGAGGATCATTTTGCTGTTCACTCCAACTACATTTTAATTGCACAAAGATTCCTTCCTTCCCAGCAGCCTTTCTTCAAGTCTTGATGCTTCCACGTTCTTATTTCAACGCTTCATCTCATCAAAACATGAGCAGACTTTGTGAAGACAACCGTAAATAAAAACTAAAGCCCACGCGCTGCAAAATGCTTCCCATGATTATTAAAAAACATTTGGGTCATACTGACCTCGAAAAGTATTCTTACACTCTGTCACTCCGTGGTACTGACCCCACATCCACACAAACAGCGATGAAGACGGCTAGCAGTCGTGATTAGATGTGTTTTTAGAAGCATTTGTTTGCGTTTTTTCTCGGTTCTACTGTGGCCAGTTTCCAGCAGTATGTGGGGACGATTTTTCTGGCGTCTGTATGCTACTTGTTGGTCACAAACTGCATGTCACACATACTGGTCATTTCTTCAGGGATTACAGTCTTAGCACGCACAGCAGTCAGCAATGTCTCTGGTTCATGCACTGGGACACACACAGGGCTGGGCGGGACAACGAAGCAGACGGAAAGCACAAGCCAAATGCTGTCGTCTGAACGCTGGCATCGGCAGGCTGTTTGTAGCAGTAATGAAATTAACTAATTTGGATTCGAATGAAAGAATTCATATTTGGATTATCTGATAATTAGCTTGCTTGTAAGCAAAGTTAGCACTTTATGAGACTGTAGTACACCGACTGTGTATACAACAACCAAAAGACCGAGATGTGACAGCAGCCAAATCATGACATGAGCGAAAGCGCGTGTGCTGGGTACAGTAAAAACAAAATCTGTGGCGAAATAAACACAGGAATAAAGGTAGATAAGAAACACCAAACACGGATGGCTTCAGATTAGGAGAGCCAGTTCAGAGGAAAGTTCTGACCAAAGAGACGGTTCAACATTTGATGCTCTTGGTTTTGCAGCATGTGCGCTGACCCATGACAAAATCCTGCCAGACTGTTCCACATGCTTAGCTTTCCTACTGTCACTAATTAAAAATAGATCAGAGGGTGGGCTGGTCCTGACACATAAAAGGGGATTATTATACCTGTTTTTGCATTCAGGTCAAAGGCAGGGGCAGCTCGGTGGACCTTCCTGACTGGTTTGGGAGGCCTCCTCTCTTTGGACCTGTCAGCTCGGTGTTCCTTCTGCTGCTGATGCCTGGTTCTGGTGCTCTCTGATCAAAGAAGACCCGTACAGACGATAAGTCACACAGTCAACCAGACCGACTACAGCATAGTTTCTTAATTAAACAACTCTGTTGTTTTAACCAAAGGCTACCTGAATACATCTTTTTGGAAACACAATTTATGCTTCAGACTGATCAATACAACTTAGTATCTCGTATGTAGAATTTATTTGAGCAGCCAATACGAACAGATTTCCCCAATCCAACTGCAAACTGTGTTTCTTGCAGATGGAGGTCAAAATGACATACATCACAGCAATCAATAGCTTGTTCATTTTATGCAGTTTTTTCCAGGCATAACCAATCCAATAGAGTCCTGTAAGCCGGACAAAAGCCCAGGAACATACAAACATGTCCAAATATTGCCATTTTTTAACACAAAATCCATTTTCAGGTGTTAAAAAATCTAAATCAGATCAGTGACATCACAGCCTACAAATCCAACACACAAAACATGACAACAGTGAAAAGAAACTGAGTGTGTTCGAGGTTTACCAGCAAACTGCCGTGACAGGTCTTTGTATATTTCTCTGCTGAGGTTGTGAAAGTCTTCCTCTTTCCAAACTTTCCCATCAGCAGTCCGGATCTTTGTCTCAGTATTGCTGAAACCTGAGAATAAAGGGGAAGGAGGGAACGTGTCAGCAGCCAGCAGTGACCTGCGTCCTACGATATCAAACAAGGTCAAAGAAGTGAGAAAGTTTAAGGTGGAAAAAATCTGACGGTCAAGGTACCTTTGTAGACAGGTGCAGGCGGAGCAGCTGCTACTTTGCGTATCTTGGCGGTGGGCATGTTGCTCGCAGCAGCGCCGTTGCTCTCCACGGTTGCCATCGCGGGTTGTTCCAGAGAACCCAGCAGCTTCTCTCTCTCTGCAGCCTCCTCCAGATGTTGCCTCTGCCTCCGAATGCGCTCTTTGAGCTTCTCCAGCTTATCATCAGGCTGATGTCGCCTCAGGTTCTCCAAACGCTGGGAAGCTGACCCAGGGCTGGTGGAGGGAGTGCTGTCTCCTCGGCGTGCAGATCCCGGAGTGGGAGCTACGCATGGACTGGACTCTTGACTATCCATGCCAAGTTGTGCTTTGGGAGTGTTTTGCACAGTCCTCAGGGTTTCCAGGGCTGACTGGTCATTGAGGTAGCGCACCTCAGTGCTCTCCAGAGCTGAGGAGTGTGTGCTGTCCAGGTCCCTGTCTGTCTGTTTGTCCCTGGTGTCTCTGTGGTAAACCAGCTGGCTGGGCAGAGGATCTGAGGGAGGCGGAGAGGATGGGTGCGAAGACCCTGGCACCGACTGCAGACTGTAGGCCTCCAGCTGAGAGGAGGGATGTGGTGGAGGGGTGGCCTCTCTGAACATGAACCAGATTACATGGGATCAAGAAGAGGATCAAGATTTACTCTTAATTTACTGCTCACTGAGTTTACAGGGCGACACTCTAACTGAAGGCCACAGCCTGTGTGAGCAGGGATGAATGCATTCGCTCAAAATGCTCAGTGATGGAAACAACTGAAAGTATACGACAGTCATGAGAAGAGGATTTGTAAATAGTCTTTTGATAATGCAAATCTTCCATTTATCCTCACTGACTGAGAGAACTACAGAATAGGATTAGATAAGGCTCCATAAAGTATACCACCATCATTCAGCTCACCTATAAGAATATCACTGACTACTGAGTACACTTACATCAGGTAACAGTAAACCATAAACAAAACATTTTCTGGTATTACATCTCCCTCAGTACCTGAACAAACCAACCACACATATCCTTATATGCAAATCCAGCAATGTACCCACAGAGAAGTCATCATGAATGTGTTTATTTGTACCTGTATGAGGCCAGCGGTTCCCTGAACTCCACACTGCTGCTCCTGCGGACATTGCTGTCCTGAGTCGTGTTTCTCAAAGGGCTGCGTGAGCTGCTCTTCTCTGGACTCTGCTGACTCCCACTGCGGGACTTTGAAGACCCTCCACGGTCATCAACTTGCTGGCCATCTACAGAGAGTAATGTTATAATCTCATTTTAAAAGTCAAATAAGTATCGGGGGATTTCAACAGATGAGTACTGGACATCACACAAAACTAAAATGTGTGAAAATACAAAAATAACTTTATCGGTCAAATTGTAACAACTCACCCCTGCAGCGAACCGTCCTCGAGGATTTCTTCTTCGGTAAAGTAATGACAGAGTCCAGGAGAACCCCTGTTCCTGGAGTCGCCTCTATACGGTTTTCTATGTGCCGCAGCTACAAAATAGAAAACAAGACAGTATTTTAGTGCCTCTATGAAATGGGAATCCTTTAAGAAAAACAGACAAAAAAAAACATTCAGAAAACTGTTCAAGGTGTACTTACAGCTGCTTTGGACTGAGCCAAACTCTTCCATGCAGTTGTCAGCTCTGACAGACAAAAAGAGAATTAAAATTCACAATCAGATGTAAGAGTGACACAGATGCCCTCACAAAGTAAACACCCCATGACATGTTGAGATTAAGAATTTTATATCTCAAATAAAGCGAGGACTTAAAGAATATTTTAAGACTAAGCACCAAAGACTGAACTGCAAATGTTCTACACACCTGTGCCAATATTGTGATCGGTAAGCTGTTGAGCAGAGCTTTTAAGAGAAACCTCAGTCCTCCTGCTGCTCCTCATCTCTCCCGTTCACCTGCCGTCATAACAAACAAAGAGAAATCATGAAAACCAACACTGAAAAGATGACAACTGTGACACGCCGTGAATGAGATCAACACTGAGAGTCATCAAAAGAATGTAACCGCATCACATCAATCAGCCAAAGATGGTTAAGTGAAGCCAAGGAATGAAACAGGAAACAAGTCAGGTACTGACAGAAACAAGCCTTCAAAACAAATGACGAGCTGCAGTTCGTGCTCAAGTGAAAGCACACAGTCAATACAATAGGTATGTCGCCCAGTTAGTTCCTGCTGTAAAACATATGTAACCAATATCTGGACTTGTTGGCAGCAGATTAGTGTCACCCTGACATTTAAAACAGGTTCTACGACAGCACATTCTTCAAAGGGAAACGCACGTCACACATCAGCAATGTGATGTTTACCTAAAACACCTGTAATGCTTGGATCATGTATCTGGTCCTGCCTGGGCACCGCTCTCACTGAGTTTACAGCTAAGTTACAGAACTCTTTGCTCTCGAAAAGGGAACCTTCTTCCTAAAAATAATACTAAAAATCTACAGAGAACTTTGACTACTGTAATCAGTTTATTGCAACATGGATCGGTCAGCCAGTCTAGACTAGTTTGGTAGTCTATTGCGGGTGTTGCATGCTCATATTTAACACCCTTTGAGTCATAAAGAGTTCTTCAGAAGTCATAGCTTTTACTCACAACAATCACATGACGCAGCTCTGAGGGCGAGAGAGCAAACAGGCAGAAGACTCAATCCAGCACTCAGCCTTCACAGTCGCCAAAGAGCTTCCTCAAAGGGAAGCATTTAGAGGTGCTGCTTTCATTTCCCTTTATAATCAAATACAGTAAGGTCCTCCTCCCCCTTACACTGTCAAGTGTCCTGAGATGACTTATGCTGTGAATTGGTGCTACGCAAAGTAAAATGAATTGAACTGAATGCAACCATATGACTCTGATTATAGACTCGGATCAAACGTGCAGACAGAGTGAAATTTAAAAAAATAAAAAAACGTCCTAAACCGGACAACAGAAAGGGATCTGTGTCCTCTCTGTTGCACAAGAGCAGCTAAAATGATAAAACGTTAAACTGTGTGTAAAATTCCCACCAGGACCGTTTTCAGGTTGTCACTTTGACTATCAAGACAAGCTGACGTTGGCAACTTGTGGCAAACGTTGTGGAAGGAAAAGCGCACGTCAGCATGACACAAAACACTTCTCTGTTAGAAGCTCATTTAAGGTTAATAACTGATGTTGTACTACTAGTAAAATCCACAATAACTAGCTGATTATTTAAACACTAAACAGCCCAAGTCTGAGACACAACTACTCCTCTGTACACTGGACTAGTGCTGTGCCAAAAGCTGATTATCCGCATTTCTCTGCATTATTTTACATGCTCTGTGCCCTACATTTTAACTAATGCAGTTTTCTTTTTTTACTAGTTGAAACAGGTTTAAAAGACCAGCATGACTCATATACTGCAGTTTCCCACCTGCCAAATAGTGACGGCAGCCGTACACTGTTACTGAAATAATATTAATGCATCAGTGTGACCTGATCTCATTAATAAGGGTAATATATTGAAGATTATAGCTCATAAGATAACTGCAAAAGAGATTTCTTTTCTACACATCAAACCAAACTGTGACTCACATATTTCTTTGGTCACAAGAATCTTTAACTTTTACAAAAGCATACTTCTACTGTTGCTACAGACTTAGAAAGTTTGATGCATTTGCACATTATGACTGTTTTATTCAAGACGTGTGGAAACTGGTCAACACAGCTTTAACAAGATGCATGCAATCAGTTTTTGGCACAACACCGGTCCAGTATTGCTGTATCAGTGAAGCCACCCTATTACAGCATTTAATGTTTATAAAGTTGGCAAATAAAAAAATAAAATTTCCAAACCCGTCTAAAGGGTGATATCCCCTCAGCAACATATCAGACAAGAAAAACTGTTGCCTGGAAAGAATTAACTGATAAAAAATACAAATTTCCTGAAAGTAAATAACAAAATGCTAAGCGGCTGAAGTGTTGCTCTGCAGTAGTGGCGCCGTGCTGCACCTTATAAGCAATACAGGAATCCCTATGTCTGATTTAATTCTGATTATGTTCCTGCAGCAGACAAAGCAGCAATTTCTGAACCACAATTCCAGGACTTCTTTTCTCGGAAGCTAGTTTTTCACACCAAATTTAATTGCTTTTTTCTACCTAAAATACAACATTGTCCTAGTACTGTACTTATAGTTGTACAGATTCCACTGAAATACGACTCTCTGGCCTGCAGTTTAACTTTGCTGTCAAGACCTGCATGTTGGGAAATTCCTACGAGTCGGTCATTATCAGGTAAAATACAGATGGAATCACACGCTGTGGCCTTTGTAATCTATATACATGTACAGTAATAGACAATAACAACCTCCCAACCCACCAACTAATAGATAAACTTGATTCTCACTCTGTCCATATAGTTCTGAAATTTGTTTTTGGGGAGTTTTCTTAATTAGCCACTCCTTAGCTATTCATTTAGGAGGTGCAGTCATGAAAAACAAGAGTTTAAAATATGCACTACAGCCTCTCCTGCTGCAGACACATGCCAGTCCTTATGGGTGGCCACTACACAACAACACTCATGTAGGGACAGTGTCTGCTGCAGTATAACTTCAGACCACGAGTGTCACTACTGTGCAAATGGCTGCTTAACAGCGCCGCAGCAGCAGCAGCAGCAGGGCGAGGAGGAAATAATGGGCCATCTTTGACTTTACATGGGTTGTATTGACTTTAACGTAAATCTCCCTCACTCAGTAGAAACGAGTCAGGGTTCTTTCTTATCATTTCACATCCACCTAGGGTCACATTTATGCCCCCGGACAGGTCAGCGACAAGTTTACCTCACATTCAGGGACTTTATATTATTAGCAGTATTTCGTAAAACACAGAGAGCCAGAGTTAGATGGTCCCACTGACATTCCAGGAGCTACTCGGACGCTAGCTGTAGTCGGTGTTCACGACAGCATCGTTACTACTGAATATACTGAGGTCTACAGTGCTAAACCGAAAGTAAACGCCACCTAAATCTCCGCGTCAAAGTCGTGAAAATACCTTTGTAAAGGACAACTAATTAATCCAGTTTCCAGGAATTACTCGCTGCTGCGATGGGAGAACACAATCCATCGTTAATCTACTTTCGGGTGTGAACTAACTACCGGTGTAACACTGTTTTTTTCAAATTGGTAATAACGAAACCACTTTCAACTTTCAGCAGCTTTGTTGGGTTTTCTAATATCCTGGTTGTACGTTCAAATTTTATTTCTACAACTAACTGGAACGTCTGACTTCAAGACGACTTATTTCGGAGTGTCTTCGTTCCAGGGAATAGACGGAGCCGCCAACTCGAGAGAGTTGAAATTAATGCTAGCTGATGGGAAAATCATGAATTAACGCAGCTGAACAACACTTTAGAGAGACACAACATCTACCTTTAGGGAAACAATCCGGCGTCTCTAGATGTCCACATTCACGCCGATGTCCTCATGATAAGAAGATCCGAACTTCTCTGGACTTCTGCTTCAGTTTCGTTCAGCTGTCTGTTTGCTAGCGTTACCGCTAGCCAGCTAACGTTAGCTAGCGGCGGTGCCAACAACTAGCTAGCAACTTTTTCTAGCGACATGCAGCCACCGTCCCAGCGTCTGTTCGGGCAACCGCATCTCCAAGTGAAGGTTAGCTGTGAGATCCACGGAAAGAAACGTCGCCACCCGCCTCTGAGGTCTCCTTTCCCGGGTTACTATGTTGATGTTTCTCAGCGGCGAAACGAGAGTATCCAGGACGGGGAGGTAACTGACACCGAAGTATCGCGAGAGTTGGACCACGTCAAACCTTCGGAAAAGCCCCACCTCCGAAAACACACGTAAGAAACTCAAGAAAAAATAAAAAATAAAATAATAAGGCATTGTGTAATTAATATTATTGCACTGCCTTAACTTTAATAATAAAAACTTACTATATAATTAGTCAAGTGCATTTGTGTAATTTTTAATACTGTAGTTCAATATTTAATGAGTTCTGTAAAGTAGTATAATTAGTAGCATCTTCACCTTAATGTTGTGGTGATTTTAACTTCATATTTAAATTTGTAAAATAAAAAAAATTGTAGCATCCTAATCTTGATATTTTTAAATATCAAGATTAGGATGCTACAATTTCACCTTAATTAAAATTAAGGTAAATTTAAAGTGAGATGAGGTAAAAAAAAAAAAAAAAAAAAAAAAACCTAAAATGTGCAATATATATTTAATATTTTTGGATTTAACATAAGATTTAAATTTGTATGATTAATACCATCGTAGCATATTAACATTAATATTTAACTTAGTCGGTAAACATGTACAATAAAGGAATAATGTTTTAATTTTAACCATATTATTTAAACTTAATTGATAAATGCATTATGCCATAAAATCAACAACTGCAGCAATAATAATAAGAATAACAACAACGATAATAATAATTCGTTGAGCATACTCAGGAACTCAACAGAGAAAGACATGGATAATGATAAACAGAGGCACCATCATAAAAAAGCAAAATCAGCTAAAGCTAAAGCGATTATTAACTGTAAAATTTAACTTTACTGACAGTTTCTTGTATCTGAAACAATTTAGGAGTTTGTCAGGAAGCCTTATCGTCTGTGGAAGGTGCATATTAGTCAACTTCTGTACTACAGTGGACACAGATTAGTTTCCAAACACATTCAGTGTCCTGAAACCATTTCAGCAAAATTGTCAGATATCAGAAAAAAACTTTATTTATCCCAGAAAGGCAATTAGGTGGCCACTAAAACTAATTTTAAACAGCAATAATTTTCAGCAGTTAACTAAGAGGAGATTTGCAAAAACACACCAGGCAGCTTGTTTTATGGCATTTGTTGAGTGACTAATTTGCTGAGGTGTGCTCAGGTTGCTTCACCAATACAACCTATATGTGTTTACTGCCCCCCTGTGGTCTGAGTGGAAGCTACACAATACAGGCTATGTAATTTAAATCAAATCTATTTATGCAGCACAGTTTAAAATCTGAGTTAATCAAAGAGCTGTTATAAACAAACACATATATATGCAAAAAGCAGCACAGTGTGAAGGCTGGTAAAAATCAATTTGTAAACCTGAATAAAATAAACATAAAATACTAAAGATGTTCAGACTATGAAGGGCAAACAAGTGCCACTGAAAACAGCCTCTAGATCTATTATTATTATCTCAATAAAAACACATGCCACACTCAGGAATAAACCAGACAAAGACAGGGAATGACAAACAGAGGCACAGTAATAAAACTAAGTAAAAAAAAACAGAACAATATGAGCGTCTCTCAGGGAGCGTTACCATCCGTGAAAGGTGTGTGTGATGCATGCTGATCCACTCCTGCACTACAGTGAGCACACATTTGTTTCCAATCACATTCAATGGCCCGAAATCGCTTCAGTAAAACGGTTTGTGGCGACGCCCGACAAACTAAGTGGCAACTAAAAGTCATTTTAAACAGCAGTTTTCAGCAGTTGACTGAGAGGGGATTTGCAGCAGCTCATCAAGCAGCCTGTTTTATGGTGTTTGTGTTGATTCACTCATGTGCGGAGGTGTGACACTGACAGGGGCAGATTCCCCGAGAACGAGGCACCAAAAGATAAAGATGATATTTGTGAGGATGGCAGACGAACAAAGCTTCAGCAGTTACCTGAGATGAGATTTGCAAAAGCACATCAGTCTGTTTTATTGTATTCGTGTTGATTCACTCATTTGCAGAATTAGAACGAAGGATGTGTTGAAACAGGCAGAGACCCACTGAGGCTCTCAGAGAGGTAATGGTTCTTAAATGGTTGTTCAGAAGGTTCTCTGGTTGTTCTTCAAAGCACTATCACCACTTAAAGAGCCTTCTAATTTAGTGGATGATTCTTAATGCTCTTTATGTGGTTCTTAGAGGCACAAAGGTTCTTTGTTTGTACCGGAGTTATTTGGAGGCAGATAAGAGTGTAAAATTAGAACTAATTATCAGTCTCTGAAACGCTGCAAATTCATGCAGTTCATACATAAAGGTGTTTAATATCAATGCGTCTGTAACTGTCAAATACATTCAGTGTTTTATTAATTTTAGGTTTTATGGCTCTATGTTCCTCCTCATAGTGACTGATTCTGTGTCTGCCTTCATGTAGCTGAATTAAGTAAAAAGGAACATCATGAAACAACCAGCAACTGTCTTCATGTGCTTATTTTTCAACCCAAACATAATAATTTAGAATGCTCAAAGAACCAATTATTAAAAAAATAAAAAATAAAAGTAAAGTAAAAACAACTGGAAAGGGGGAAAGTAAAAATGAGATCAAATAACAAAGTAAAAAATAAAAATATTAATAAAAAAAATTACAATAAAAAGGAAACTAAAAAATGAGAACAAATAACTAAATAAAAAATAATATTAATAAAAAGGAAAGGAAAAAATGACAACAAATAACTCAGTTTAAAATATCACAAAATAATAAATTCAAAGGAAACTAAAAAATGACAACTGAAACGAATAACTAAGTTAAAAAAATACAAATTACAAAATAAAAAGGAAATTAAAAAAGACAACAAATAACTAAGTTTAAAAATAATTACAAAATAATAAATAAAAAGGAAAGAAAAAAATGAGAGCAAATAACTAAGTTAAAAAAATTACAAAATAAAAAATAAAAAGGAAAGAAAAAAATGAGAGCAAATAACTAAGTTAAAGTAAAAATTAAAAAGGGAAAAGGGGATGACTTTAGACTCACTGCATACCTTAAACTATGGCCTCTTGCAGCAGATATATCGAACTTTGTGCAAACTTCTTCAGCACAGAACAAATAATCATCTTCAGGATGTTATGTCCAGTTTATGATTCCTCCTGAGTGTGTGATGAACATCCGACAGGCCTTTTACAGTTGATCAGCAGATCCCCTCAGTGTGAATCTAACTTTCTGTAGCTGCAAAAGAACAACAACATAAAGCCTCTAATCCAGTCAGTTTGGGTCGGAGCTGTTTCATCTTCCTACTTAGAAGAATTCGTCGTCTAGCATTCACAAATACAAAAGCAGTCGCATGTAATTTAATCAACGCTCTGAAGACAGTGGAGATGATTGTGGACTTCAGGAGGAACACAGCCCCACTCCCCCCATCACCCTGAGAGACTGCCCAGTGGACCCTGTGGAGTCCTTCTGCTTCCTGGGCACCATCATCCCCCAGGACCTCAAGTGGGAGCTGAACATCAGCTCCTGCAGCAGCTGAAGAAGTTCAGACTGCCAACGAAGATGATGGTGCACTTCTACAGCTCCATCATCAAGTCCAACCTCACCTCCTCCATCACCATCTGCTACGCTGCAGTGACAGACATGGACAGGGCCAGACTGCAGCTTAACATCTGCTCGGCCAAGAAGGTGATTGGCTGCAACCTGCCTTCTCTCCAGGACCTGCACGCCTCCAGGACTCTGAGGCGTGCAGGTCAGATTTTGGCCGACCCCTCCCACCCTGGACACAAACTCCTTCAAACACTCATCTCTGGCAGGAGGCGTCGGTCCATCAGGACCAGAACCTCATGGCACAAGAACAGTTAGTTTCTTTCCGTCTGTCATCAGCCTCATGAACAAGGCCCAGGACCCCCACTGACCCCCCTGCCTCCTCTATGTCTGTATAAATGTAAATAACAACATATCAGCACCCTCAATACTCCTGTAAATAGCACTACCATTCCTGTTTAAATTTAAATTTGATTCTTTGCACTATTAGTTATTTTTGTTTTTAGTTACTTTATTTTGCTGTATTGTTGTGTTGTTGCACCAACCCACCAGAACATTATCCTCATATTGTGAGAACTACACCTGGCAATAAATCAGATTCTGATTCTGACATACTGGGAGGTTAATTTAATCAGTAACCACCTTGAACGTTGCTGTTTGAGGCGACTGATTGAAAGGAAACAACATCTTCTGGATATTTACAAAGTGTGGATCTGCTTGATTTTCCCACCGAGGACACACAGGGTTCACTTTGGGATAAACGTTGGACAGTTTTCCTCTTAGATATGGATAAGAAAGGGTGATGGATCTTTTTTTGTTTGCAGAAATGCTTCTTTTAAAGTTTTAATTTTTTTTCTGGCACCAGTGTGAAGAACCACTTCTTCCTCCAGTTTGTACCTTTATTATTTTTTGTATGCATGACCTCAGATGTATATTCCACACTCACTAATCCTTCTTCACTACCGCCCAGAAGCAGCCTCATCAATACAGCTGATAGACGTTTACTGCCCCCTTGTGGCCGCAGTGGGAATCACATCTGAACAGACAAACTACCGCCTGCATGGCGTCGACTCCAACATTTTACTCATTCAGAAAAAAATAAATCTCCTCCTCTCCAGTCTCTGAGTGCAGTTAATTTTTGAATCACAGGATTAATTTTTTTTCTCTCCTTCGACAGTTTTTTTTTTTTTTTCCCTGCAGGAGGAGTTTTTCCCTCTTATCATTGTTCTCTATGGCAACGGCTGGAGTGCACACAGTGGAAATGTTTGAAGGCAGCGTGCGTCCTGACTGTTAACAGGTGAGTCATAAATATATAAACTGCAGCGCAGCTCGTCGTAACCGAGGCAGGGATCCAGGTTCGTGTCTGCAGGAGGCAACAAGTAGGTGACCTGCGTGTCGAGCGGCGGCGCACGGCTGCTTATCCAAGTGCAACAGAACAAATGTTAGTGGCAGCTGCTCCACTTCCCCAATTCTCCTCCTGATAGGAAACAACCTGCCACAGTCC